ACTAGTTTTTATAATATATAGTTAGTTACTACAGATTACCTGATAAAATTATATTAGATAGAGGAATAATATTTACCTCTAAGTTTTAATAATTACTTATAGTATAAATAGGTACTAAGTATAAGCTCTTAATAGCTTACTACCTATAAAGTAATAGTTAAACAGAATAATTAAATTAAACTCTAGAATAATATCTATAAGTATATATTAACTATAAGTAAGATAATTAGATATAACTACTACTAATAGTACAGATTACTTATAATAGTTTAGTATAAGAATCTACCTAGTTAATACCTATATATATAAATTATAGTTATAAGCTGTAATTCTAGAATTAACTAGAACTTAATAGACTAGATATACTAGCTACTATACTTATAAAGGAAATATTATACTTATTATATATAGAAATAAAAATAGAACTTAAATTTATCTAATAGAGAATAAAAAAATACTATAATAAAAACAGATTAAAAGAACTAATCTTAGAGGAGGGAGATAAGATCTATCTACTCTGTAAAAATATTATAATAATAAAACTAAGTAATAAATTAAACTATAAAAAACTTAGACTATTTAAAGTTCTTAAGAAAAAATCAGATACTAATTATAAACTCTTATTACTAGATATAATATATATCTACCTAACTTTTTATATTTTATTACTTAAAAAAGTATTAAAGGATATACTAGACTAAGATTATCTAATTAAAGTCTATAAAGAAGAATTTAAACTAGAAAAAATTCTAAAAAAGAAAGTTAGGAATAGATAAACCTTTTACTTAGTAAAATAGAAAGGATATACTAATAATAATAATACTTAGGAACTTATTAAGTATTTAAAGAATTATTAGAAGCTTATTTAGTAATATTACTAGGACTAGAAATACCTATCCTAATAAACTAAGAAGGAGATAGTTCTATACCCTCCTAAAGAAATACCGGATTAATCTCGATCTCTAAGAATACAGGCTCAGATAAAGATATAGCTAGAGATAAAGTCTGTTTTTAGACTATCTTCTCTACCTTCTTTTACTTAATATACTCTAGTTCCTCTATACTATTAATACTATAAGATACTATCTATATTATCTTATCTAACTATAATTTCTTTTATTAATAAAGATATTAGATTTTTATATCTATATAATAATACTCTTTCTCTATAGCCTCTAGCTCAGACTCCAGTTTACTATACTGATTAGTAATATATCTTAGCTGATCTAGTATAAGGCCCTGAGTATTATAATACAGCTAATTATTTTTAATATAGTAAAAATAATAAAATAAAGAACCCTCTGATCTGAAGTATTTATAACTATAGGATTTATAATAGCTATATTCTAACTATATTACTAAAGGATTTAGTAAGATAGTATTAATAAGAGTATTATACTAAAGGGTCTTCTTATAAAAAGTTTTCTATATATAGTTAGATATTATTATAGACTATAAGAGGAATATAGGATTAAATTAGAAAAAACTTACTAATAAGCTATAGAATATAGTCTTAAGGATATAACTAATAGAGAGAGAACCTTATATTATAAATTATATTATTATATATTAAAGTTATATAGACTACCCTACTTTTTTCTAACTAATTACTAATAGATTATCAGGATCTTATAATAATCCTAATAATCCAGGATAATAGATTATTACTAAGCCTTAATAATCCCCTAGTATATATATATATTTAYTTTATTAGATAGAATACTCTCTCAGACAGTTATTAATATAATTATCTATATATCTATTATTACTAGCTTTATAATACTTATATATTAATAGTAACTCATATTATACAGCCTAAGATAACCTGATTATACTATTCAGAATAATACTCTAATTAGTTTAACCCCGACCTACCCTAGACCCCGTCCAGTATAAGTCAACCCAACTATTACACCTTTAGATTATATATAAAACTAAACTAAGATATAATAATCTTTAGATCTTTATATTTAGCTCTCTAATAATTATATTTCTAAACCTAGTATATATAGAGCTCTAATTACTACTTAATAAAGTTAGAAACCTAATTAATACTAATAGGAGGTATATTATATATATATAATAGAATATTAGCTATTTTCTTAATACTATATATCCTAGGAGGAAATATATATATAAATAGCTTAAGTATATATAAGATAATAGCTTTCTTTTTAGATTTTAATAGATTTATTAATTTTAATTAAGTATTATATTTTACTATATAACTAATATATTAATTATAAAGAATTATATATAGAACTTAATAGACTTTTACTATTACTTTAATACTTAATTTCAGGTTTTAATTAAGAGCTTAAATTATAAGAATAATATTTATTTTATATAAAGTTATATTTATTTTATAGTAGAAAGTTATTTAATTATAAAGAGGAAGTTCTAATTTCTAGATAGAAGTAATTAGCTTACTTATATAATCAGCTTACTTATAGATTATATTATGCTTATTTTATGAGTATAGGTATTGAGTTAATAAAGTAAGAGAGTATACGTAATATCACCGAAGCAATTAGCTCCAAGGTAAGAAAACAAAATCCAAGACTCACTTAATTATACTCATAATAAGAATTCTTTATAAAGCGTGATTTAGATATTGAGCCCACTACCCAAACATTTCTTTTCTTCTTCTTGTTTTCTTAAGATGGAGTCTCGTAATCGCCGTTTGGCAGTTGATGCCGAGCCGTATATGGTCTATCGCTGTATGAATGTGTCGAAAACTTGGTAGAAACGGCCTTGATATTATTTCGTATTTAGATGCGGTAGGGCTAGGTCTTTTTCTTAAATACATTCAACGAACATTCGATGACGTTGAGTCCATTTTAGAGAGTTGATTCACTTGTTAACATAATTAATATATTACGGTCTTGGAACTGCCTTGAGGCTCACGGTGAGGAATTCAACAGACGCTCGTCATAGAGGTTACTAACGAGGCTATCAGCTCTTAGCTGGTATGAGATATGACCGACGAGCAACACAGCCGCATCCATCTCTCTTGCCATTTCTAACACAAAAACTTAGTTCATGGGGGTATCTGATTGCTTGCTTCTGCCTGACGCCATTGTCCGGCCGAGAAAACACTAAGGTCTGGGCAAAGAGGCGTACAGGCTAGAGCTGGCCCGTATCAGCCACCCGAGCTTTTAAATGGCCTGGCACAGCGAATAAAGACTAGATGTGTACTAGGTAGTATGCGGACAGCAGCAGCGGGACAGTAATAACGTACGAAGAACAACTTGTACTGAAAAGGTATATGCCGGAATAATGTAGGTGCCGCCTGACCCGAGTTGTAAATGCTAAAGTAAGATCACCTTAATGGTTGCAACAGTATTTTAAGGAATTACTCGGCGAAGCAGGGCTTCAACACCAAGGATCACAGTATTGGGGCTAAGGCTGCCGGTTACCCTTCCATCTATCAACGTTAACTAACCTCCAGAGAATATGCGTTTCCTCCCATCTACTTGAGCGAAATAGCATGGGGGGATCTTCTGGCTTGCCCATCTATAGGATAAAGCTGATGTGTAATCCACACTTCCTTGGCCATTATTTGCTCCTGGAACGCCGGACTGCGGTGAAATGGGACTACATCTCATTGCTAACCTCAATACAGCTAACATTCTAGACACATCCTGGCATGACAAGCAATTTATTTTAGCCTCCTCCAGGCCATACGATAAGCCTTATCGAGGGGCACTCCAGCCCGACAGGGTTGGAAGGCCCGTCCTCCTTGTTGAAGATCTCCACGGTCGGGTTCATCTGTTCTCTTGAATTCTGGGTTATCCTCAATACAGGAATGTATTTAGAAATAGCGGTACAACTTCATAAAGCCTATGGTAAAACTTATGACTCCCTGTGAGCATGCTGGATCAAGGAGAAACATAAGCATATGGAATTCCAGTGAGTAGTGATCTTATTACGCGCCGTCACTCGATTCACTGAGGCGAACTGAGAGGCCTCATGTAATTAATAATGTTGCGGGTAATCTCAGGTCCCGCGCACTGGAATGTTGGAGGGTTGCTACGCTCGAAGCATCTTGGCGAAGAAAACGTTTAAAAGGAGGCGTATCGCCCGGAGCTAGATGCGAGTTGCGGGCGTGGGTCTGTCTGTACGGCGCCACTCTCGTGCCTGGACCCTAGTCAGATGTGCCGGAATACATGGATACTAGGTAAATGATAACCTTGGCGCTGCTTGTCATACGTCACAAGGAAGAATTATCTGGGGATGGGCAGTGCGCTGAGCGAAGAGCGCACTCTCAGCCGGGGAAGTCGGCAAAGCAGGTTTGACAGATGATATGTAAGTCCACCGTTTGCCCGTTTTGTCCAATTAAAATACAAGACTAACATGAGTCTGGATACGAACTGGAGAACGTGATCAAATATTGCAACCGTTGACCGCAAACTATTGATACTCGGTGCTCTTGGATCGGCGCTACTGCAGGTACCAGCAATATCCGAGTGCCCGAATCAGCAAAACAGCCTGCAGCTTAGGAGAACTTCTCCCGTGTCTCCTGAGCTCTGCGCCCTGACCATTTTCACACTGCATGGATAAGTAAGTACTCCACTGCAGCCTCAGCTGTGATGATTGTTCGCCTCTTAAGACATCGGGTTGCCCATTGCTATCTCCACTCACTCCTCGGAATGGGCAGATGAGAGCTCGATTTCAAGCTAGGCGGGACCTTTGTTAGTATCCGCGCTGGAGGGAATCTCTGGATGTCGCTAAGGAGCGCAATTAGTCCTAGTATACCTCAATGGCATGACATGGGCGGCATCCCGCGTGCCGAGATAAACGTGGTGTAGATATCACACTGAAGTAGAAATGAATATTAATACAACATCTACTCCCTCGTTATAGCCCGTTGCCGGCTTCGTGGCGTAGAGGCTTCTCACCCAAACTTTCGTTAATTACGCTTCGCATTCATTTACACATTTGTTTTGATTTTCATTCTTTATAAGCCCAATCTCTCTTTATTTCCCCATTCTGTCACAATGAAGGCGCTTTTGGTCGCCGCCGCCGCTTTGCTAGCACCTCTAGCTACTGCCACGGAGAGACCACCTCTCCCTGCTTGCCCATCCGGCAACTTCACTCCTTTCATCAGCAAAGGCTGCTACTCTGATGATGGATCAAAAGCACTGGACTTCCGTTCCCCCTCGAGCCAATATAGCATGACTGTTGAGCAGTGTACTGCGGAGTGCAAGGGTAGGCGAATTCATTGAGACCATGGTTCCCAGAACACCACTAATTAGAAATAGGTAACGGCTATCGCTATGCTGGTCTCAAGTACTACGGCGTTTGCTACTGCGGGTCTTCTTTAAGTGCTGCGAAAGTTGATGACTCCCAGTGCTCATTGGCTTGCAGTGGTGACAAGAAGGAGGTCTGTGGAGGAAACACCCAGCTCTCTGTTTGGGAGGATCCTACCTTTGCGAAATGCGGCAGCGATATCACTATCAACGATTATGAATCTCTGGGCTGCCACGATGATGATGGCTCTTCTGAGGGACGTGCTCTTAATCACAAGCTGGACTTGGATGCGAGCACGTTCACCACTAAGCTTTGCCTTGACGCATGCAGGGTCCGAGGATACGCCTATGCTGGCACTGAGAATGGTAGTAAGTTGACACGATGTTCATTATTTTCCTAGAGGCTATGCCTAAGATGCGCGCGAAACTGACAGTCTTGAATAGACGAGTGTTGGTGTGGTACCAACGTAGGAAGCAAGAACATCAAGGTTGACGATGCGAAATGCGACGTGCCCTGCCAGGGTAGTCCATCTGGCAAGTGCGGTGGTAAATCCGTCATTGACCTCTATCACGCCAAAAAGCTCGAGTCTGGTGAGCCATGCTCTGGGGTAAATACCCAAGCACCTGCACCAAGTTCCACTGCAACAAGGACAAGGACAAGAAGGTGCTCTAGAAGACCATTGACAAGCACTTCGCCTGCCCAGAACTCTCTATCAACCCCAGCTACAACACCTCCCCAGGAGTCTAGCACTCCCATTCCCTCTGCTACTTCCCAGGAGTCCGGTACTCCTCTGCCATCCATGACTTCGTCTGAGGGGACTAGCACTGCCCAGCCGTCTACCCCATCATCTCAAGCAGCGAGCACACCCACCTCCTCTCCATCTACATCACAGCAGGAGTCTTCTACCACCCCACAAGCCTCTGTCACATCTCCAGCATCAACCACCCCTCAACCTTCAGCCACGATTGACTCGTCCAGCACCCCAGAAGGCACTGAAATCCAGGGCACATCGTCTTCTGCTCTCGCGACACCTGTGTCATCGACATCCGAAGCTTCCACAACTCCTGCTTCACCCAGCTCGAGCCCTTCCACGACGGGACCTTGCACTGGTGGCGCCGGCTCTTGCCCTGGATCAACCCCTGTAGCCTCATCTTCTACCATTGTCCCTTCAGGAGTGTCTACCACAGAGCCATGCACTGATAATGTTTCTTCCTCGACTCTCGCTACATCTACAACACCGCTGGGTAGTTCTACTCCTGGATCTTCGACGCCTGGTGCATCCATTCCAAGTACTTCCACCGCGGTGACATCAACTGCTGGCACTTCTACCCCTGTCCCATCGACTACCCAGATCTCTAGCACTGAGCCTTGCTCCGATGATATCTCAAGCACCGTTACACCTTCATCATCATCGAGCTCCATCGTGTCAACTACCTCCACATTGGCCACCTCGACTCCAAGTTCCCAGCTATCTAGCTCCACTATCCCATCAAGTTCCCCCAGCTCTAATACCGTGCCAAGCACTACTGCTGGAGCTGGCTCAACTAGTAGTCCTGGATCCACCACCGTTCCGACCACGACACAGAGGCCGAGCACCACCTCTACTCAGCCCATGTGCACGGCCACTCATACGCAGCCCGCCACTTGTGAATTCAAGTGCGGTAATTGGTGTGCTCCTGCTCTCCCTGACTGGAAGGACAAGAGCAGCTGTCTCAACGCCGCTAAGACCTGCTCCCTTCAGATTGCCTCTTGCTTCAAGACAGCTGGGTGGCCAAAAGCTATTGAATGCTTCGACTTCTCGAAGTGGTGCGGGCAAGTCGAGGAGTACTGCCACAGCGACTGCCCCTCAGGCAATTGTGGAAAAACAGACTGCTGGAACAAACGCAAGCCGTCAGGCTCCAACGGGACACCTCCTACTGTCAGCACCACAGTCTACCCCTGCCCTGCCACGTCTACAATGGCCACCAGTGTGGCCAGGCCCAGCACCACCTCTCACTGTGCTCCTACCCCGACCAATATCTGCAAGCAGCCTACCAACACTGACTGGGGATATGGACCTGGAAAGCCCGTGGCTGGAGTGCCTCTACCTGTTGTTGGCTGCAACGACAACAAGAAAGACTGGAAGTCCAACCCCTTCAAGTTCTACAACCACCCTGATAGCCGCAGCTGCCAGTCCTTCACATGGAACCAACGCCCCAATGTCTGTGCTGATGCCTGCCAGGAGCAGTATGAGGACTGCGTCGATACATACGTCCAGAGCTGCAACGATCAGTCGTGGAGGAGCGGAAGCAAGTACCACACACGTACCAATGACAACGGTGGATGTGCGGCCTCCAACACTGGTAGCGAGTGGCGGAAATCCGGATGCGACAAGGTTCACTGCTGGGGCCAGGGCGGAAATGATGGCAACACGGCCAAGAAGCGATGCAAAGCACAGTACCAGGACTGCCTGGCTGTCAACAAGAACGTGCAGCCGAGCGATCAGTGTCAATCTTGGTGCGGCGCGAAGGGCAATTAGGCTTTGGCCTTGGATGTGCGATATATAATGCGGTGCGAGTAAAGCTCTCACAGGATCAGTAGTTATAGCTGTTTTACAATCATTTAAGATCGATCCAATAGTAGTATTAATATAATTTTTCACTATCGTGTGGCGAAAACGAGAAGCCACTATAACATGTTTTATCTTGAAGGCCATTTGAACATCACTGTATGATGAACGTGTTGATGATCTACTAGAATCGAGTATGTTACCCAGAAAACAGTGTTCGCCAATTATTAGCCGGTCAGTGATTAACATGTATAAGTGATATCCACGGAAATATATTGAAATAAGCACGTTGACGGAAACACGAGACCAAGGGGTCGGTATTCCATCTCTTGGTCTATCTGATTCACGTTTATATTGAAAAGAGCTCGGGAAGTGACCAACCCCATGGACATCCATGGCCTTCAAACATGCTTGTTCTGACTCGCAAAGATCACCGAGCATTTCCGCTGAGCAAACCTCGTCACCCCGCATTTTGGGGCCGGGGGCGGGGCCAACTCATCAAAATACATTCAACGTGATTGGATGTAGGGAGGTCATCCCGACGGGTATGCCTCTATGGGGTGCAGTAGCGGTGCCGATGCCAAGGATCAGCAAACCCGTCAAGAGACGACTTCTTATTAAATATGCTTAGCTCAAGGTGAACAGGGTAAGAAGGGGGGGCGGATTAATATCCGGCGAAGGGGTCGACGCTGATCACATCAGAGCGCATAGTTGATTGGAGGAGATACTGGCAGACTGTATCCTGGTCTGCATTGCCATGATACATCCCGTACTACGGCGCCAGAGGGTGACATTCTGTGCAACATGTGCCCTAGCTCCCTGTTGCGATGTCATGGCTCGCTGAATTTACATCCCGAAGCGATGCTACCTCGTTCGCTTTCAAGTGCGGGGTTAGCATTTGGCTCTCTGTTGGCAAAATTATATATGTATGATAATGTCGCCGATGTGATTACCAGCTCTACCTCGATGCCCAACCGTTAATCTATACCACCACTTCTTACTCATTCTTAATTGTTAAGGCTTGTGTTCAAGGTGTAACCAGCCACAGGCTTCATCATTCAAGATGGCGGACACGCGGACTCTCGAAAAGCGAGACATCGAGACTGTTATTGAGGACGGTTCTCATGTTGAGCACAAACCTCAGGTCATCGAGATTGGAAACTTCCGCGTTATTGGTCTTGACCCTGACGATGCGGACTTCTTTATCAACTATCCGGAAGAGAAGAGGAAGAAAATTTTCCGAAAGGTGCTGAATTATTAATATCCTCCAGTCTATCAGCCATGCCAACTGTGACTAACTTTTCACGCTTTATTCAGATTGATAGGCGGCTCATCCCCGTTCTTGCGATGCTTTACCTGATCTGCCACATCGATCGAGCCAACATCGGAAACGCAAAGATTGAAGGGATGGTAGAGGACCTTGGAATGACTGGAGTTCAATACAACACAGTCCTCTCTATTTGTTAGTTCTGCCTGAAGTCTCTCGGCCCCTTCCTTGGCAAACCCGAAATATGGGAACTCTTCAAGCTGCACATTGGCTAACATGACAGATGCACAGTCTTCGTCCCATATGTTATATTTGAGATCCCCAGCAACATTTTGTTGAAAAAGTTCAAGCGCCCATCAACATATCTTGGAATTCTCACACTCTGCTGGGGAGTTGTTATGACCTGCACCGGTCTGGTGCGCAACTTTGGAGGTTTGATGGCCACTCGAGTGCTTCTCGGTATTTTCGAGTGAGTTTTACTTTCTGAACATGCAATAAATACTCTGGCTAACAAAAATGACTGCAGGGCTGGATTCTTCCCTGGTGCCATCTACCTGTGCTCCTACTGGTACATGCCCAAAGACATGTCGGCTCGAGTTTCATACTTTTATTGCGCAAGCGCTCTGTCGGGAGCATTCTCCGGCCTTCTAGCCGCGGCTATCGCCAACATGGACGGTGTAGGCGGTTATGAGGGCTGGCGCTGGATTTTCCTCTTGGAAGGCATCGTTACAGTAGTCATGGGCGTTGCATGCTTCTTCCTCCTCATCGATACGCCAGCTCTATCAACACGCTGGCTTGAGCCTGAGGAAATCCGCTACTTGGAGCTCTCCATGCTGATCAAGCAGGGAGGAAGCTATCAGGAGGAGTCTAAGTTCAGTTGGAGGGATCTGAAAATGGTTGTCACGAACTGGAGAGTTTATGTTCAAGCCTATTTCCTGGTTTGCCAGTCTGCCCTTTCTTATGGTAAGTTTCAGCTCGCAACTTGAGAATTGTTTCCCCAATTCCATCTTCGGAACTGACATTATCTCGTGATCAGGAACCAAATTCACACTTCCCACAATCACCAAGGCTATGGGCTTCAACAACACGGATGCCCAACTGACATCCGCTCCTCCCTACGTTGCTGGTGCTATCTCAGCAGTGATTTTCGCCAAGTTGTCCGACAGGTTCTTTTGGCGCATGCCGTTCGTCTGCGCCCCAATGCTGATTGTTACTACGGCCTACTCCGTCCTCTTCTCACTGAACGGGCAGCTCTCTGCAAAGAGAGGAGTAGCTTATTTCTCCATCGTGCTTGGCAACATCGGGTTCTTCCCCCTACAAGCTGCCGCCGCCAGTTGGAACAGTAACAACATCGCCCCCGCCTCCCGACGAGCAATCGGCATCGCTTTGATGAACTGCGTCGGAAATGTCGGTGGTATCGTCGGTAGCTTCATGTATCTTGAATCCGAGAAGCCTAAGTACCCCACGGGCTTTGGTCTCAGCTTAGCTTTTGGTGCGTCTGGATTCATTGTCGCACTTCTCCTGGAATGGAGCTACAAGGTTGCGAACAAGAGAAAGGCAAAGCTTGCGCCAGAGGCACGGGTCACTTATACTGAGCAGGAGTTGATTGACATGGGCGATAGGTCACCGCTCTTCAAACATGTTCTGTAAAGATCGTAGCCGAAATTGGCTGGGATTCTTTAGCGCTAGATGAAGATGAAGAGGCGAGCCAGATAGTGGCAGAGAGGAAATTTGATATATTGATGAGGAAAAGAAAGCTTGTGATATTTAAGCCAAGCCCAAGTGATTGAGCCTTTCTTGTACAGTTATTGGAAGTTGTAGTTAATTCTAGAACTTGTCCGTGCAATCCTGAAGCCAGATCATACCTATTCGAAAATTCACAACATTGCTAGGGCTCTTCAAATAGACACCTCGATTCGTGGATAAGCGTTTACTTGCCTCAAAAATCCATACATCGGGATAAAAAAACAAAATCAATTGAGTCCCCTTGAGACTCGGGGAGGAAAGCTAGTCAGGGCCTATAGGGAATATTTTCCATAATCAGCTTTGAGCAGCGACTACTTTGGCCAAGTCTTCGCGGCGCTACAATGCTCACACCCCAGACAAGTGCTGTCGGGTCTGGTTTTTTTTTTAAAAAAAAATGCGTGGAACCAGACAAAATGACTTTGAATTTTCTATTCCATAAAGTGTACATCGAGGAGCACTGAACGCTCTACTACGTCGACTTGCTTGACGCGAGGCGAGTTCGCTCCTGAGCCTTCCTTCCGAACTAACAAAAATCTACTGAAAGATCTTCGGGGCATTGAAACAAACCCCAGCACTTCAATCTGACATCCGACAGTATTGTTTTGCAGTTCTCTGTCATGAAAACAAACGCTCAAGTGCTCCCTACACAGAAGCTAACTCCAGCATAATGTTCAAAATCTAAGGCTGTAACGCTTTTGATTCATGAAATAAATTTTATTCGAATTATTTAATAACAATAATTGAATTTCATAACCGGCTAGCTTTTAACTCATGGGTTTTGACTATTGCTACCTGTAACAGAAGGTCGAGGAAAGAAGAAACCAGGTGTTGCGGCCTTGTTTTTCCGAGACTCACCTAGTCTAGTTGAAAATAGATCATAGGGTGGCTCATCTAAATACGGCCCATGGATCGCAACTCTTAAGCCGGAGCTTAAGTCGACCGGGGCCGCCTCGGCGTCGTACCTCATCCTTTCCAAAACTGCATTCTCATCCTCAGTTAATTCAAGACAGGTGATCCTGAACATGCCATCGGCCGCTTCTTCATATCTCTCAGAGGGCTGGCAGACGTAAGTAGAGATGTTCGGTGTTGGCCGATAAGATCGGTTGAGGGTCGGCCCTAAACTTGCGGTCCCGCACTGGAACTTTAACTCTTTCAGCGGCGGAAAGCTTAAGGGACGCTTCGAACGGATATAGATGAAAAGTTCCTCGACAGCAGAGTAGGTCAAAGGGGGCTGAATGAATTCCGTGGGTTCATGAATGAACTCCGCGGGATTATACGAGCACAGTTCAAACCATATTGTCAAGCTTCGTAGTTTCGGGAACCCTGCCAAGATATCGAGAATATCGTACGGCCAATCATCTTGCCTTTTGATATCAAGCGCCAGCTCCTCAATTAGAGGGCATTCCTGTTGAATTTTAAGCAGGGATGGTGCGTCGATAGTTTCTTCCGCCCAAATGCTTAACTGTCCCCAAATGGCTATCGGTTCTTGATGAATATGAAGAATTTTCAGTTTAGAAGCGTGTTCAACAATTCCCTCCACCCCTAGTGAAGCAACTTTGGGGAGTCGGACGGTACTGAGAGTATTGGGAACCGCCCTATAAAATTCCGAAAATTTACTCCGTTGCGTGTCTTGTCCAAACGAGGCCTCGTCAAGCGAAATTAGCTTTGGTGCCAACTTCAAGGCAAAGTCCCAGCTGTCGGTCTGTAGCTTTCTTAACATAGACCAGTCAAATGTCTCGACCCAGTAATCCATCTCGAGACCCTTTCCAGGATAACCAATACAACTTCCACGTCGTCCCTTTTCATCTCCGGACAGTTTTCCATTCCCAAAAATATAATGATGCAGCTCCAGCTCTTCTAGCGCTGGAGGTCGCTCGCCGTTCACGAACCCAAGGCCGAAATATCTGCGTAACGGGCGTATAACACGACCGAGATTCCGAGAGCCGAGGTCAATGGCAAGCTTGCGAACATTGGGGCTCGACAAAAGTATCTGCTTCAAAATCTGGTTCATCTTGCTGGTGTTTTCATCTCTATGGAAAGTCAAGCACATCCTAAGCGAATACAGATTCTCACTCCCGGTTAATTGGAGAGGCGAAGTGAATGTAGGAATCGGCTTAAGAGGCACGGCTATTTCTTGTCCGAGAGTAGTACGGAGGCGCACCATCTTCTTGGGGCGAAGGGCGGCAATGACCTGCTCAGGAACACCGATTGACGAAACGGGAGGGCCATTGTTCATCCACTCCAGGTCCCTTAGCCCAGTGGTTTTTTGCAGGAGCTGAACTACGGCATCGACGTTTTCCCCATACTCGTCACCTCGCACGTTAATGCGTCGAATAGCTGGCGAAAGTCCACCTTTCACGATAGATGCAAGCCGCTGTTGAAGTCGCTCTTTGTTGCTCTCTGATATATCGAGGCATATCTCTCGATGCTGATAATACCGCGCTGCATGGTAGTAGTGCGAACTAACCAGTGCGAGGTTCTTCATAGATTTTGGACTTTCGGTACAGACCATGTCGAAGATGATGACAATCAGCTCATTTCCCAGGCTATTCAATGAAGGCTGGGAGTCGTCCCTCTTCTGCGGGGCTCGATACTTGATCAAACGAGGGGTAGAGCCATCCCAGTTGATATCAGCCAGTATTCCGAGGAGGGAATTCTTCATATTTTGCATGAATTGAAGTGCCATTTTGACCAAAAGTGATGAGACAGAATATCGGGTGCTGCGTTGTTCTGGGCGCTGGGTTGTTGAATGTGAATACCAAGATATTGATGATTGTCTGGGGACCGAAAGCTAGGCCACGACTACTTATCCGTGATGTCAGCTCACCCGAAACCGCTTTGAACACGTGATCAGTCTTCCTCGGCAGTAATCGGAAGCAAGTCGGCTTCATGCGCCGTCTTGGGTCTCAGCAATTGCATATTCAAGCAGTACTACGACGCTACAAATGAACAACCCCTCTTGTCAGAATTGACCTCCTGAAAATGGCAGCTCAAAGTCTCGCGTTGCGCACTAGGGCAAGAGTCCTCCATGATTTACGTACGCAAGGCCTTTGATGTATTTCCTTCGGCCTGAGATCCTGAATATAGATTATGGATTTTCTAATCTAAAGAGTAGTACGGTAGCCCGGTTACGTCGGTTGGACCAAGGTCATTTCCTTGGCTGTTTGATTTTCCGGGGCATGGCGTTCCAACACAGGCTCAAGCCAAGGAGGGACCAAAACGTCAACTTACCTCTAGGTGATCTCTTTCGTTTTGAGGGTGTATAATAGTGAAATACCGGACTAATAGCATGGGACCGGCGCCAAGCAAATGACTTATATAGAACATGGCACACCCAGAACCTTCAGCGTTGAATTTCAACATACTATCACCATAATATCAAAATAATAGATCAATAATAAGTACAGTATCGAGCTCCATATTGTAGAATAATTCATAATTAAATGACTATTATATTAATATTATCAATAAGAAACTGAGGTCAGTGGCTTACGTGAAAAGAGCTTTGGTGTGCCATGTTTTATGTCAGCGCTTGCTAAGGTAGCCACGGCTGTTACTAAAGTTTTCCATGTCTGTCGGAGAATATTAAACGTTAAAAAATTGAAGAATTTCCGAAAAGAGAAACAAGTAGCTTATATCATGCAGCAGCGAGGAGAGCAATATCATGAGCCTCCCAATCAGAAACGCAATGCATGGAGGAATGTTGGACCCTTCACCTGCCCTATCGGTTCCACGCTAGCACCAAGCTCCGAAAAGGGCGCTTTTAATGCTCAAAATGGAATCCCCCTCGCCTAAGTGTCCAAACTTCGGCAACCCCTAGTTGATCGTATCAGACTTTGCCAAGTTGGCACTAGTCACCATAGCTCGAGTGTTCGTGCTTGGCCAACTCCCGGCTTAGCGTTACATCGGAGCTTTTTGACACTACCGCATCTAACCCGTGATTGGTGTTGGAACGAAGGATTCCTCTCGTGGGTCTTTATCAAGCTTTGAAGGAGGGTCATTGGCAGCCATGGGCCTTCAGACTCGTGCTTGCAATGGGTTCTCAAATAACTATGACCCGCAACTAGTTCTCAAACTAATGATGGTTTCCTTCCAAAGCTTGGAGAGGCTCAAACTAATCCGATAATAGATACACCACCGACCTGATATGTAGGGGTAACGCAGATCGACAATACACTCACTCAGTTTATGTATGGGCCTTTCCCAACCACGTGCCGTTTTGCATTTCTTTTTCCTTTTCTCGCCGTGTTGTATGAGGAGGTATGTGAAAGCAAGCTTTTTTGTCTCCTGGCTCACCCCCAAAATGGCCGAAACCAAGATCGACTATGTGATCGCGATACCGACCTTCATTGGATCCTTGCTCTCCTTTTTAGCCAGCGCGGTAGCTATCATTTTGCAGATCGCTCGTCCTCCAAGGCGCCATTTCCGTCATGCGCTGATCGTAAACCTCCTCATCTCAGGTAACCAAATCTCTGCGGTACCCAGCGAGAATGAAACCCTCGATGCTAATTCTTCTTATTTTCTTGATCATCAGACTGTATCAACAGTTTGGAAAACACCATCTCGGGCGCAATATTCTTATATCTTGGCTACACGCTTAGCGATACTACTCCCCCGTCTGCCGCGTGCATTGCGAGCGGCTACATCAATCAGCTCAGTGTGCAGACGATTGATTTCAACATTCTCATTATTTCTATAATTGTCCTTGTGTCGATTGTCAAAAGCGATCTTATTGCAAGGATATCGACCACCAACCAAATCCTCGTTTGCGTGGCAGCCTGGGTGCCTGCCTTGATAACTAGTAGGTTTGATTTTGATTATTTGAGCAGCGGAGCTGCGCTTTCACGCAAAGAGTGATTTTGACCAGATTGACTGACTTGCTTAGGTCATGTTGCCCTTGGCTTGAATGCGTATGGGTATGTGAGCGGAAATTGGTGCTGGATCAAGGCAAGCCGTGTGGATCTCCGCTACGGCCTCACTCACGGATGGCGGCTCTTCATCTTCTTCGCCACCATCATCATCTACTCGTATATTTATATCCGACTCCAGCAGACGTTCAAGTCTCTAAGAACATTTGGCGGGACCACGAATACCCAGCCGTCACGTGACGTCGGCGGAAATCTAGGCTCTGACACGGAACATATCTTGGTATCCCACGACATCACCGTCACTCACGAATTGCAGGACACCTCGCAGAGTCGCTTTCATGGCCTACATAACAACTCTTCTCAGGGAATTAAATCGCCTACGGACAATAGCTTTGAGGTTTCTCGCCCAACATTGGAAAGTGTCAGCGGGCCTCACTACGCCTCGCACATGCCAGCACCGCCCAACGTGAAGAAGATGTTGCTCATGAATGGGTACCCGCTTGCTTATATTATTTTATGGATTCCGGGTATTGCGAATCGGCTGGCAGAGTCTACTGGACAATCACCTCGGTGGCTCAAGGCATTGCAAGCGTCGACACAATATGTTGGTCTGGTAAATTCCTTGACCTATGGTATAAGTGAGCAAATGAGACAGGAAGTGTGGAAGAAACTAAAGGGGCCCAGCAGTTCTTATGGCCATCAATAATAATACAGGCGTTATGAAGAGCTTTGTTAGCTATTCTTTTTTTTTTTTTGTAATGAAAGATACCTCCAGATATCGTACAGGGTGATTTTCAGACTTGTTTTCGTAGTTCGATAACGACGAGTGTCAAAATTAATATGTTAGACCTAGTAACAAAAGAGAAGAAATTCGAAATTGCGAAAGGACATGTGGTGGTTGTCACGCGAACCAAGCACTTGGTTAGAATGGCTATGTCATTTTCTTATGAACTCTCTACCAGCTTTTTCTCCTCTGCTAGTACACCCTGAATAGCAGGATTGGAAATCAAGTCACTTGCTTGGTCCTTGCTCATCGGCAACAGTGGCCTTCGTGGCAACTCGCTATGACCTAGCACTATATGTACCAACATCTTCAATCCGGCTATCTGTATTATAAATCTCAGCATATGAATCGCCATATTGATCTTCCTTCATCACTTACACCAATTTTCTGGCATGCTCCATCTGCTAGTGCCAAGACTGCCTGTAATCTTTGTGCTTCCTTGAAGTCATCTGAACCGGGAATAGAGTCTGACAGCTGCCACAACCGGACGCAAGTTCTCTACAAATTTCAATTTAGTGAAGATAACTAGTTGCTGGGATGTAGAGACAACATACCGGTACAATATTTGGAAGCCCGGAAATAGCCTAAAGTACGAGCTGTCAACAACATCGATCTCCAGTCTGTTATCAATATCTACTCACTCCTGCAGAGCCACTGGCGATCGAGGGAAGAAGAATATCAATGAATCCGTCGATTATTCGAAACTCGCTTTGCTGGCCTTGGCGTGGATACTTTTGTTGAAATTCGGCAGTCGAGGTAATCGCATTGATACGTGTAATTTTCCCAACCGAGGCACAACTGATCAATATGAGCTTCAGTGAAAGGAGTCATAAATGAAGAGTTTCACCTAGGTTTTATATGTGAAGGATCACGTACGTAAGTTTCACACCCACAACATTCGGGCAGGCCTTGATTACATCCACGATCAAGTCGCTATCCAGGTCAATACCCCCAGACACAGCCGGGAAATTGTAAAGCACTATAGGCAATGGACTTGCTTCTGCCACGTCGACAAAGTATTTGGTCAATGCCGTTCTATTGGACAGCTGTCCCGCGTAGTAGCCCGAGGGCAGGACCATGGCATAGTCGGCACCAGCCGCTTTCGCATCGTGGGCCAGTTGGATGGTCTCTCGTGTGCTTGGAGCACCGACGCCTGCCACAATCGGTACGCTGCTCAGAGTCCCTTCTCCATCATCAAGTACGTTGCGGGCTGCCTTGATCAACAAACTGCGTTCCTGGGAGGTCAGATGCGGAGCCTCCCCAGCAGATCCTGATATTACAGGAACGGTCCCGGCGGCAGCAACGTATCGAACGTGCGTCTTGTAGGCTTCGAGATCCAAATCTTCGTTGAGTTTGAAAAATGTAGGAAGGGGAGTGTATATGCCCTTTGGCAGGGGACGGTATGCCTGGAGAGGCATGGTGGACTTAAGGAGCTATCGAGAACTCGCTCTCAACATACGATGTTCCCTGTTGATATGCTAAGATGTAATCAACTATATTTATCTTCATCTCGGCGCTAGTACATCGTTCTAAGCCATTGGCATATTGGAGCTAGTAGACATCGCCGAAGCGCCGAGGGAGCGAAACGTGGCGCCGAGGATGGGGACGCAGGTGTGATAAGATCATCTAATCTACTACTTATTCGATATTCGGAAAACTTACGAATTTAGAATATGATATTTGAAAAAGGAGCTTGGTCTGAATTTCACACCATGTTGCTACTAGAAGACCTAGAACACACTGTCATTGAAAATTAGATACCCTACTTGAAACGGGGCCCAGTACTCTGACATATTAACTGGGAGTTCTCCAATCTTGCAATACTAAGCGATATTATTTAGAGAGTGTACCGGTAGAGCGGTGATTTCTCCTCCATGCTGGCCAGTTCTCCAGGGGTATACTGGGCAATAATCTGATCATGATCCATCTCGGCTCTCTTCTTATTGTCTCTCCTCATGAGCCACCAATGAATAGTAGCTGGTATCATGGCTCCCAAAACAGTAGCACCCACCGAGAAGCCAAACCCAAGAGGATACACAGGTGCCTGAGAATCAAGGTAGATGTTAGAGCCAATACCACCTCCCCCAACTGATCCAAACAGCATGAGCAATCCAATGGATGCAGCACGCTTTGACGGGTTCGGAATGTTATTGGATGTCCACGCGCCAACAATGGGGGCCTGGGCACTGTAACCCGCTGCAGCAATGAAGATTGCAAAATAAGACACGCCCGAGACATTTGGGAAGTGGACGCTGATCCACAACACAACAATGCCGGAGAGACCAACGGCATAGCATGTCATAATTGAGATGTAGCGTTTCTGATATCGGTCGCTCATCCAGCCATTGAAGACGCAGACGATAGTGGCGAAGATGTATGGTGGTGTGGTAAGAGCCTGTGCCCGAATCGCCGAATAACCCAAGTTACGAACCATTGTAGGTAGCGTGTAAGAAAGGGAGTAGGTCGGGATCGATCCTCCCCACCAGAACATCATCATCATGAGCCACGTCTTGCGATCTTGGGCTGCGGCCCAAACATCGCTCCAGCGGAATTCGTAGGTGGGTGCATTTGGCCCGGCCACGTACTTGACACGAAGCCTCGAATATTCCAGCTCCTCTGCTGTAAGCCACTTGGTAGTTCGCTTCTCGTTATATTGATGAGGAAAGTGACTATTTACAATGAGGTCAGTTTAAGCCAAGTTTTGAATACTTGAAGGTGGTTCTTAACATACGGGAGGAAGAAGAACGTCATGAGGCCAACCGCAACAGTTATGATGCCCTCGATAAGGAAAAGCCACTCCCAAGCTGTATAACCCTGCTGGCCATCGAGATGACCAACGCCATAGGCGATCACACCGGCGAATGCTCCAGCTGCAGTGTTGGCGCCATAAAAGATTGCCATACGAGTAGCAAGTTCTCGCGGCGTATACCACATGCTCAAGATGAAATAAGATCCGGGGTAGAGCCCGGCTTCGGATATGCCAAGAGCCAGACGAATTGCGATGAAACCACCAAAACTCCGTACGAGGCAGGTCAGGGTAGTGACAGTACCCCAGGTAACCACAATGATAGGGAACCATATCTTGGGGCCAAGACGACGCAATAGAACATTGGAAACAGGCTCCCAGAGTCCGTAACTGAAGAAGAATACCATGAGACCAAGATTGAACTGAGTCGGTGTCATGTTTGCATCTACTGGAAAGTTGAAGATCTTGGCATTGCCAGCGTTGGACTTGTCCAGGGAGCAGAGCAAGTACAAGACGCTCAGTGTTGGGAGGAGGCGCCAATCAACTGTAGAAGGGTTAGCTCATCTGTGCCAACTTTTCGAATGGGCTTCGGTAACATACGCTTCCGCAATAACTTCTTCTTGCCCTCTCCCTCAAACTTGCGGTGCAAGTCCAAATACCGATCATACTCTGGATTGGGAGAACTGGCCTGCCCCTCGGAGACGGAATAGGCATCCGATACGCCGGCTGCCTTCCTCTCCGTGTCGTCCACCGACGATGAATCATGGGGTTTATCACTCATAGTGTCAATGACCATGAAAAGATGTTATCAGTTTAGAAAGAGTTCGATAAGTTGAGGGGTGTGATGATGGATCCAATCGACTGAATTTGCTTTTTTCTTGTGCGAGAAGATCGACTTTATGCATACCGCCCTGACAGAACAAACAAGTCAAAGTGCTTGCCAGATATCCTGGTCTCAGCACCATGGGACCAACCAGTCGGGTCAAGCCAATTGCCAAGAATCGGTACTGAATCGTTATCTATCAACACCATGCTTTCTGGGGCGTGCCCATGGGCGAGCGATCCACAACGCCCACACAACTGATAAGACTAGTTCATCCGGCGGTTCGGGGCTAAGTCTTCATTCGTTATCCGGCGACGGCGCTTCGGCGGCTCATGCCTCAGCCTATGGCGATTAGACAAGTCAACGAGATGTGTTGTCTCTCAGCTCCGGATAGCAAATGCAATGTAATCATACCAAAACGGCACGTAATTAGTGCCGTAGTGCCCAACCATATAGTCACCTAAGTCTCTTTCAGGCACAGTCTGGTGTATAAGATATGCCGTTGAATCTGAGATTCAACTTGGTTGAAAACGTTATCTCTACACCTACGAGAATAGTGTATTGGGAAAGATTTCAGAGAGTTCAGAAAAGAGCCTTACTAGTTGCTCCTTATCCTATCTATTCATATCTATCCAATCATGTCTGCAATCACATCGACCACCCAAGCCGCCCAGGCGGAGCCGCTCAAGGTCAAGCTTGTAACTAGAGCAAAGAATGAAGATGGCTCTGCGCTCTACCCAGACTACCTCCCTTTCTATGATCCACTGGAGAAAGTTGAAGACCTTGGCGAGTTTGATCACTTCGACCCTGGTCACAGAGCCGACCCAGCGCTGCCCAACCTCCTTGCAACAGCAACAAAAGTGACCGATCTCTCTCCTCATGTGGGCACGGAAATCGACGGCGTGCAGCTCTCTCAGCTTTCTCCTGCCGGGCTAGATGAATTGGCTTTGATGGCAGCGAAGCGTGGGGCACTGGTCTTCCGCAACCAAGACTTTCGAGACATCGGCTTCGAGCGACAGAAGGAAATTGTTCGCCATTTCGGGCCGCTCCACATCCACGGATGGGCGCCACATCCGGCAGCCGGGTCTGAAGAACACATGATCATCTATGACCACAAGGAGGACCTCCGAGTACGCAAGTCCTGGAAGGGGCGCAGTCCGGTTCAGTGGCACACGGACCAGTCACCGGAGCCGCAGACTCCGGGCACTACCTTCATCTGCATGCTTGAGTCGCCGGCTATGGCTGGAGGCGATACTCTCGTCAGCTCCAGCGTCCAAGCTTTCAAGTCACTTTCGCCTCGGTTCAGGAAGCGCCTCGAAGGACTCACGGCGATTCACAGCAACAATGACGGTGTAACACAAGAGTTGAAGAACGGACAGGAGGCTGTCATGCGCAGGGCTCAGCTTGTCCAAGAACACCCCGTGGTTATTATTCATCCCGTTACCAAAGAAAAGGCTCTATGTAAGCATATGTTCCTAAATTACTCTTTACATCGTTGTCTCCATGCTCACTAACCTACCAGATGTGAACCCCGTTTATACCAAGAAGATTGTGGGTTTCGATGAAGAAGAATCCGATTATCTCCTTGGATTTCTCTTTGACCACATTGCCAAGCGCCAGGATTTCCAATGCCGTGTTCGATATGAGGCTGGAACCGTACTTGTTTGGGACCAGCGTGTGACCAACCACTCCCAGACATTAGACTACCCTGCCGGTAAACGTCGACATGCGTTCCGTTTAACTCCGCTGGCGAACAAGCCAATTCCAGCCAAAGTTGAAGAAGATGACGGAGAATGTGAGAGAGAGATTGCCCGCGCTTCACTGGGACTCTGCTAGATGTCAACATTGGTTGTAGTTCTGCTTTGAGGGTAAAAGCTCAAAATGTGAAGAGATAATCATCAGAAAACTCAGGCGTGGACCAATTCTCACTCTGCCACTGCCCCCATGCATCATGTATCTCTTCCGTAGCACCAAATATATCCTGACTAAATCCACGTTCATCTGCAACAGGCAATGGCTGCACCAAGCAAGGCGATTTGTTCTGCATAGTATCATGTAGATGCTCCTCATTCGAGTTGTCAAGGTCAGATTCTTTTCCTTTTTCACTTGGCCGTAAGTCTTGGTTACTCGAAGAAATAAACAGCGGATTATTGTCTGGTCTGTTGGCCGGGATAGCTTCGACAGAATTTACGCGGATTGACTTCTCGAAGAAGTGGAGGACAGACTCTGCGTTGGGCCAATGCCTTGAGAGTTGCTTCAAGGATATCAGAGCAGAATCGTATCTCCTTAGAGCTGAAACGGCTAAAAGAGGATTTGACAGGCGGATTTCACTACTAAGCTGTATGAGAGCCGTGAAAAGACAATTTATAACTGATATCCAGAGGCTTCTTAGGTTGTTTGCTTCGCATAGTTGTTGAAACAACGACTGTATGGAACTTGCAGCAGCCACGCAGATTTCCAGGTTATCGTCAAGTAGTCTCCCCAAATGTTCAGCTCGAGCTTTCGATTGAGGCAGCGGCCTGTGTAATAGGATTAGAGCCATGTTATAATGGAGATGTAAATTTGCTGTGCAGGGATCTAAGGCCCCAGATATTGTGTGCAGTTGGAGGTTGTGAGGAAGGCGCAGTGCCCAGCTTGCAAGCTTCTCGTCACTTTTTTGCACAGCCGATATCCTTGATTCGACTGTGGTTGCGCGAGACCGCGCCCGCACGGCTTCCGAAACTATCACAGCGAGTTGAGACATTTGTATCATGTATTCTGGACGTACATCGTCCCCGCAGTCTTGAAAGTCAGCCATTTTGAGCTTTTGGACCGTGCAGTCCTCGAGATGTATTGACTGCGGCCGGCCATATTGGAGTGAGACCCAGACATCACTTTGAAATAGCAACCACCATACACGTCGCCACATGTGCTTATTGTGGACAACAAGAGTGCTTCCATCTGCATCACGATGCATGCCAAGGCCCATTGCTGTTCGTACCGCGGCACCCAGCCAGAACCACGCATTTGCCGTTACATCTTCAACACCATCCGTATGCCAGGTGAGAAGCAGCGCAGCCTGCACGACGGTGTCACGGTTACGCTCGAAACCGGTATCATAGAGGCTTTTGGCCCTCCTGAAAAATATCATCTTACAAGAGTTACGTGTCTCGTGATCGCTGTCATACAGCACATGGGCACCAACCACGAGGATAGCCTGGAGAAGAAGCAACGAGGGCGGGTTTGATGGATCCCGAGCTCGGTACTGCCGTATGAAAATACGCTCATCAACAACGGGAAACCCTGGGTTGGCATGCCGAAAATAAGCAGTAAGCAATTGGTCGACCAGTGACTTGGGAGGCAACTGGAAGGCATCCAAGGGTACTCGATTGTGGCTCGTTATATGCCGCCCGATTCGATCTGTCGGGTAGTGACATACTCCCGATGCACGCACGCGGGCTCCGAACTGCTGATGGACAAGGAAGTTGATATTGGAAACCTCACTGCCAATGTAAGTCAGGCGGGCTTTGCTGTCAATAGGCCGTTCCACAAGCTCCGGCTGGTCAATAAACTCGACCAAATGGCGTTTGTAGAGATATTCCCCGTTCTCGGCGGCGTGGATGTCGACCCCTGCCACGCCGACCGATGCTGGAGTGGACAGGGACGTCCTTTGCGTGTCATCCACACTGCCGGGAGATGAGGGAGGGTTGGCTCTGTCACTCTGTGGAGATTTGGCGGCTTCATCTGAAATCAACGAAGGGGCCAATGCCTTTGGTGTTGTCGGTGGTTCGGCAGCAGTTGCTGCAGCTCGGGTAGCCTTTGATACACGCTTGCGCTTCTGGTGCAGGCGGCAATCGCTTCTCTCCGCCAATGTACAATTGGAACAAGGCAGCCCAACGTCGTGGGCATCGCATTTGACCTTCCGCTGATGGCAGACTGTGCATGCAGCCCTCTCTGCATCGGGTCAGACCAGTTTATTCCACGGATCAGGACTGCATAACACTCACGTGCCGCTTGCATTCGAGTTATCCTCTGCATCGCTCAGATAGTCGAAGACGCGGAAGGATTTGGAGCAACTCCATGTGATGGATCTCTCCCGTATCCAGCTCTGTTTGCAAAAGCAACGAGCATCAGTCCCAGTAAACCCTCAATACCACATGCCTATCATACTAACCCTTGACCCTTAGGCCCGCAGATAACAATTCGGCGCTTGCTTGCTTCCATTATCGCCAAGTGCGAGGGATATAATCACGGAGCGTCTGATTGGCCTCCTGGCGCCGTTCTTATCTCCGTGGCCGTCCATCCCCACGATGTTTATCATGTCCGGGGCTTGCTTCACCTAAGCCTCTTTTGTCATCGGCACTGAAAGCAATCTAGGTTGTTACAAGCATCTGATTCATTTGTCTGGTGTACAGGATACACTCCAGCTTCTAACTCCAAGACACTTGGGCAACCCCCTGAATGTGGCTCATCTACCATTAGCCCCGATGAAATGAAAAGTAACTCAATCATCTGAACAAACAACACTCGGGCGTGACAAAAATGGAATCATCTTTCGAGTATGATCTCGTTATTACCAATGGTGTGTGCGTGACAGCCAGTGATGTAGGGGCATGGGATCTGGCGATCAAGGATGAGAAGATCGTCCTCCAAGCTCCGACAGGGTCTTTGGCTCGTGCCAGTGCCGGCCGTATTATAGATGCCGAGGGCGGATATGTGATGGTAAGTCGGTCAGCGCTCGCAAGACTACTCATAGGCAATCGTTACTAACATGAGGCAATCAGCCAGGTGGGATTGACTGCCACGCGCATCTCGAAGAACCAGCAATATTCATCAAAGGATCTAATGGCCGATCAGCAGACAGTTGGGAGACTGGAACCCGATCTGCCGTCGCAGGAGGAAACACAACCGTCGTCGCTTTTGCACCACAGCAAAAGAGCCAACCATCGTTACTGGCCACCGTTGAGAAGACACATGCCCTGGCAACAGGAAATTGCTACACAGACTATGGCTTTCACCTCCTCATAGCAGACCCAAATGCAGACGCTCTTCAGGAACTAAAAGCACTAAAAGAAGAAGAAGGCATCTCTTCCATCAAGATATACATGACGTACACGGCACTTCAACTGCGAGACGATCAGATTCTGAATGTATTGCTTCACGCGCGCCAGCACGAGATTCTCACCATGGTTCATGCTGAGAATGGCGACGTCCTCAATTGGCTTACAGATCAGTTGGAGGCCCAGGGCAAGTTTGCCCCAAAGTATCATTCCAATTCACGACCTCCCATTCTAGAGGCCGAGGCGACGAATCGCGCCATTGCCCTTTCATCCCTCCTCGCCGATACTCCCATCCTGCTCGTGCATATCAGCGACCCATCCGCTGCTAACAGGATCCGTGTGGCTCAAAACGCCGGTCAGCCTATCCTCGCGGAAACCTGCCCCCAATATCTGTTCCTCACCCGAGATGACCTTGATAAACCCGGGTTTGAAGGCGCCAAATGTGTCTGCTCCCCACCTCCTAGAACACAAGCTGACCAGAACGCCATCTGGAACGGCTTATCAAACGATACATTCGCTGTATTGAGCTCAGACCACTGCCCCTTCACATTTGAGGACACCGTCGCTGGAAAAAAGTCGTGCATAACGGCAGAGCATCCCGTGGGTCGATTTCGGTACATCCCCAATGGGCTCCCTGGAATAGAGACTCGACTTCCCTTAGCTTTCTCGGCCGGACGTCTCGCACTTAACAAATTTGTTCAAGTGACATCGACAAACGCGGCCAAGTTATATGGTCTTTATCCGCGCAAAGGCTCCATGATCCCTGGCGTTTCCGATGCGGATCTGGTCATCTGGTATCCTGAGGATCGCCTTGGTGAGGTTTCCATTACTAATAACATGTTGCATCATGATGTGGACTATACTCCGTATGAGGGACGAAAAGTCAGAAACTGGCCTAGATACACCATTCTTCGAGGCCAAGTGGTCTGGGACCGGGACGGACGCGGTATCATGGCTTCCAAGGGCGTAGGCCAGTTCGTGAAAAGAGGTTCATCTAGCCTAGGAAATATTTGGGAAACAGTTCGAAATCATGGGCCATTAGACTTGGAGAAGTTGTGATTTGGTATATTTGTCAAGCACTTTTAGTTAAAGTTCAATGAGCCTCGGTGGTAACATTGCTCTGTCGATGAGCCCCTTTATGGTATCTTCAGCAATTTCAAACCTAGGAATTGGAAATCTCCTGCACTTGAAGACGATATACATAGAACATATCCAACCAAAATCATGATCTATTGTCTGCATTTGATACTTGCTCATGTCTTAACAACATTTGGAGTAGCATGGAAGGCGTTGAGTGATTACCGATGCTATCACTATCGTACTCTCTCGTCAGAAATATGATTTCATCGACTTCTGACACCCTGACCGGTATTCTATATTTGTTTTTGCCAGCTGACGATCGAAATATAATTTCATTATAACTATCGGTAAGGATTATGGCATATGTCGCAAGATCAAAGTCGCCTGGGTATCACATGAATATTAAAAAAATAAGTCGCCCACGTCCCGATCTATCCTAAGCCAGAGAGGGCTGGGTCAAAAGAGAACAACACGACAGCCGCGCACCAATTGTTAGGAATGAAGATCTCAAAGCAATAATTGAGATGCTTCATTCAACACTGATCCTGATCAAAATCTGATCGGAAATAAGTTATTCACTGCTTTCTATTCCTCCTTTTTCTTGTCATGTAAGTTTGTCTAAAAGGACCCTGGAGCCCTTTCGATCTACCAAACGTGTATATGTGAGATAATTTAATATGCTAATAAATATCGACTCTTAACACAACTCAAATTCTAAGTTCTTTATGAATTTCTGTTGCTAGTTCGATCAGATCTCAGCCAGAATGGTTTCTCGGAACCGGCGCCGGTCTTTGAGATGCAAACGCAAGGCTCTCTCACATCGACAAGGCAAGATGGCCGAGTGGTCTAAGGCGCTGTGTTCAGGAGAATGTTTCTTCGCAGTTCGAAAGAGCGTGGGTTCGAATCCCACTCTTGTCAAGATATCTTTTTGCCGATTTTCTTTCCCCTCCTCGCAGCCCCGTTGAATTAGGGCTTTAAGCACTAGACCAAGAACCTGGTGGAGCTGTGTTCCTGGAAAGCCTTCTATCAATAAGGTGGGTAGTTGTTCATGGAATTAACAGCTAATATCCCCGAGGCAGAAAGAGATCTATTGGCATATTACTTTTTTGGCGTTGGCTGCAATCTGTCCCGGCTGGTGCTCTCTTACAGCTGCTTCTCTTTGGGCGACGAGCATGGCGATATCGGCAGGTAACAGGTCTGAGATCCAGGTGATTAGGTTCACCTTCTTCGCGACCAAGGCAAGCCTCGGAATGCAATGAAGGGGCTGAGAAGAGAGGCTTCGCGTTGCCTGGAGGCAGTGTAATACCAGGAACACAGTGGAGCAGGAAACCAACATGCAAGCATATTGGACATCCCCAACCAGTAACCAAAAATAAGAATAATAAAACCGAACGACCGTAGTCGCGTATCAGGTATTAAACTGATAAGAACAGATACTACACTTGATTTGAGCCAAAGACTCGGAGAGTTAAGGAGAAAGGAAAAGTAATTAAGACAGAGGCGGCCTCTGGACGTTTTATAGCAGTTCAATAAGCTGTAAGCTCGAATCAGATGAAGCTTGGGATGCTGCCTAGGGCTGATTCAGCCTCGAGTTCGATACAGGCAACAGCGGCTGAACAGGCAGAAGGAGAAAGATGAATATTACTGGAGGATAACTGAAATGTCGTCATACTTGAGAAGTACTATTTCTTAAAAGGAATGATTTCGAAAGCCTTCGATTCCTGTTTTTGGAGGAGCATTGAACCGCAGAATTACGCAAGCCATCAGAGACCCAGGCTGGGAAATATAGGATAAGGTTGAAACGGACTTCATATTTCATTCCATCATTTCTTATCTACCCATTAACGTCATTATTCAGGTAAGTCAGACATCCCAGCCAGCCCAAAGCATGGCGCCTTTCTATCATGTACAGTTACTGTATTTCCAGTGATCTGATTTCTTGGATCATTACTTCCAGTTCACCTCCCAGGTGGATGCCAAATTCCAGATCAGCCTATGCGCCGCCCGACAGCCTCAGGGAACCCCGTAGCTGTTCCACCTCATCCGCAGACATCTTGTACAGCGTGTCATTGTCATCGGGATAGCCTGCCCCGCTTCTGCCTGGCTCCTCCGTTGGAGTTGTGCCAGTGGTACCGTATTGCCCTGGAGGTGAGGACTGGGCTGATGTAGGGCTATTGGGAGCAGATTTTCGCATGCTGAGCACCAAAACCGAGCGGGCGAGCTCCTTACGAATCCACTGCAACTGCCCTTGCCTCAGGGACTCGGCCACAAGCGAGCCGTACTCGTCGTTACACACGCTCAGCATGAAACTCAGTGGCGTCAAAGCATGCCATGCACCCAATGCCTTGATATGTCCAAGATGATTCGCCAAGGAGAGTATTTCATCCCTGGGCCACTGTTCAAGAGCTGACGGGTCGCATGTCCCTGGGTCGTGGTAGCTTGGGAAATGCAGGTCGACTGCTACCATATCGTGCATGCTTGCCGTCCTGGTGCGGTTGCCCATGCAGAATGGGACGACCCGGCACATGGCATCGAATGTCTCCTGGATTGACTGCCTGGTGGTCTGTTCCAAGTCTTGTATATCTTGCGGCTCGCCGTACGCAACCTGCACGACTCGGGGGCTGATTTTGGGAAGCTGGCGGAGTAGTATGAGCGCCGCTTTGAAGAGCACAATGCGGTAGCTCCGCCAATTGCTCCAGATGGAGGAGATTTGCACATCGGGATAAATATCGCAGTCACCTTGGTACGAGATTATCGGAGGGTTCGTCTCCCTAACATTTGAGACATATATGGGATTCCACGCCTTGAATAAGGTATTCCTCCAGTCCAGGAGCCTGATGTGGATGTTGTCCAGCTGCATCAGGATGGGCTCCAGATCCCGCTCCAACAAAGGCTCGAGTGCAAGCCGCTCAGCAAAGGAGGTGACGCGATGTTGCACGTTTGCGACCGCAACCCCGATCAGATCGAGCGCGGCGCTGGGGTTCCCTGGGGTATTTGCGATTTCCGGAATCGACAGCACGCTCGTGGGGAACGGTCGCTTCTCCCGTATGGCCGCGGCTATCTCAACGAACATGAGGTAGCGCACCATATGACGGCCATACGGCGTAGAGAGCAGCTCTGTCCCGTGCTGGTTCATCAGTGCGACAGCTCCATCATGGTGTGTTCGCTGCGCCTTCTGCATACTGAAAACAGCACTCAGGTTCTCGTGGAACTGGAAGACGAGAGCCGCCAGCACGGTCGACTGGGTTCTGCTCTCATTCGGGTCGGCAATGGCGGTTCTGAGACGTGCATAAGCATGAGCCAGCCGTCTGTGTGGCTTGTTGAAGGAATACGGGTCTTCCTTCCACTGCTTCAGGACCTTAGTCGACAGGGCACAGAGGGCCAGCGTCAAGGGCGAGTCTTGGGGCTCCTTTGCCAACGCCGGTGCAAGCAGCTCGAAGAAACCACGGGAGGACGCGAAGCCGCGGCCTTTCCCCGCAAAGTTACCGAGAAAGAAGGCGAGCGCGCAGTTAACAACCGGCGGGCTAGGGGTACGGGAGATTGGCGGGCTGGAGTCCCTGCTCTCTTTGGCGGAATTGGCCTTGTCGATGATGTGGGCGCGGCGTCCAGGGCGAGTGTAGCTGAATGTCTGCGGCTTGAACTTCAAAGTGGTGGGGGGCTTCTCGTAGCCGCCGCATTCTCTCCCCCTGCGAAAACACCTCTGGCAGCCCGGCTTGCCCTCATCGCATTTGACTCGCCTCTGTTTGCAGGTCAGGCAGCCTTTTGAAGCTCCATGATTCACCATGCTGATGGGGAGAAGCCCCAAGAGGTCAAATGTCTTTCAAGAGAGGTCGTTATGTCTCGGATGATCGACAGTGATCAAGCGTCAATCTACATTGATCGCGTGAGCAACCAGCGCGGCAATGGGAGCGGCTCCTCTTGTCGTTATTAACATGAATAATATATTAAAGTCATGAATGCATAAAAACGGTGACCCGGCTCCAGTGCCTAGTTTGATCACGATATTGCCCAGTCGGACTCGGCAGCCGGCGCCTAAGCCTCTTCAGGGGTTGAGACAGCGCTGTGGGCTAAAGTGAGGGACTTCAGTCTTTTCCCAGGTGTTTTACAGATCACAGCCCCGCGCCTCAGCCCCCTTTTCGCGAGTGCGATGTCAAGCCACGCCGAGCACGTCTTGTCGGATTTTTTTTTAATGTCAGATATGGTTTGCTTTTACATGAGTTTTTCCTACGGCGCAAATCACCAATACCGCATTGACGGCTACCCATCATCACGTTGCAGCCCAGGTCCGCTGGTTCGGCGGCGGCGAGGAAGCTCAATTGCCACGCCAGAGCCTTGATTTAGCCTTCTACATGGCGATGGATAATTATAGATAAAAGATCCCGATGCGCTGCGATTGAAAGGTCTGCCCCGATTCATTGAAAATAGCCTTTCTGAAATGCCTTAGCAGCGATAAACCAGGCGCCACACTGGGACAGCTCTCAACTTGCGCCCCATTGCATCCACCTACCCTTGAGCCACCATCCATTCATGATATTGCTTTACATTGCATTACGCTTTTCCAGTTGTCCAACACTTAGCTTCCCGGATATAGTCTCGTTCATATTTTATTTGGAGTACAGGCTTAGACAAGTGTTATTGTCTACTATCTGTCGGCATGTGGGTTGGCCTCTCACTATCTAAGGAGTTTCATCAACTTGATGATAGTGCAAAGGCTTCCTTCAACCCGATGTCGTTAAGTTTCAGACTTTTTTCTTTTCTCGTCGCTTGTTGTCTCTAACAGCTAATAGATGTTGTTATCGACTAAATCGCAGAGATCCAATACGTTACATTCGTCTATTTTCTCGTGATTAAGAAGAGGCAATCATCTCAGCGCCTTGTAAACAACCTACCATACTGGCTACAATGCCCATTAACGGACATGGAGTCTGTTGCCATTGGCTGGCAATCGCGCCAGCGATACGGACGAGAGACATCAATTAATTTCAGTTCGACATCTAGTGAATGGTGATGATGTGTATTTTACAGTGGGTCGGCTCTGGAGCGAAGGCATGAATAGGGTGGTATGAGCCGGCGAGTTCCTCACTTTACATATGGACCCGTCTTGAGATTTGAGACCTCGTGGAGTTTGAAAGAGCAATCTGCAAAGCGAAGATACCCATTGTGTTGCAATGTGACTGCGATGGTGACTGAGAATGCGCCCGGAGCCGTTTGCGTCTGCATGCGTGCGGTGGGTACGCAGCCCCCTGGAAAGACTTAGTAAAATGCTGGCAAATGGATGATGGAGCGCTTCAGAAGACAAAGAGCACACGTAATACATGTACTTTCATCAAGGGCATATCCTCTGCCACACCAGGCCGTTTGACCGAACCATTGCTCCATCCCACAAAAGCCATGACATAAGAATAAGCTTAATTTGAGCCGGTCAATTGAGGTGGTGGCCGGTCCATGCTAAGACATTTCCGATGTCGTGGATTTTCAGTGGGCTTCCAAGAGTCAACCTGATCGCACGTGTGCTGAACGCGTAGTGACAATTGGCCATGAAAGGTACTAGGGTCGTGGATGCCCGGCGGTCACCGGGGGATATGGCGGTAGGCTCCGTGATTCCTCCTCCCAGCCGTTATGCGCATCGCACGCACGTTCATAACTTTTACACAACAGACCGCAGGATTTGATACCGCTGCATTCCCACCAGGCCGGGGGATGGTTCGAAGCTCGGAGAGAACAAAGCACGAAAACCGTCAGCTGACCCTGCAAGATGTGGATCTTCTACGTAATCTGCAGATCTCCTCACCCAGGCTTGCCAAGCAATGAGATTGAAGTTTTTGGCTCGCTTTAGCTCTGGATCTTAGCCCTTCCCCACAAGAGCGATAAGACACACCGGAACCAGGCTAAGACCAAGACCCTCAATTCGGTGCCTGTTCCATTTGCGTAACACCAGCAAAATGTGGTTTCATTTGCCTGGATTAGACCATCTCCTTTCGTTTGAAAGCGCCCGACGGTGCAATGGAGCAGCCCTGGCTGGCACCTGCCAACGAGTGGATCGGGAGGTGCCTGCTAAAAGTTTGGCAGCACCTTATCGTTGCAGGTAGTGCAGAACGGAGGCTTGGCGGGTCTTGGCGAGCATCATCAATCCTTGCCACCTTGCACAAAAGTTTTCGTGCCCCCGCATCACTTCCTTCCATCCACTTCCTTACAAAATCCAAGACGCAACCTGCTAGCCTTCGCTCCAACGCGTCCTTTTTGGTTCCTTTTCTGTTCCATTGCTCGTCGTTGCCTGCGTTGCCGTGCTCAATTCCACCGCCCACGCGCTACTTCGACTTCAATTTCAATACTGCACTTCCTTTTGAAGAGTGGATTCGAGTAGAAGCCCATCTAGCTGCAACTCTGGTAGGAGGAACCCACCATGGCCAAGAAGCAGCCCAACACGCCTGGCGAGGCGCATGTCAGCGGTCAATCCAACCGCCCAATGTCCCTCCCTGCACATAGCCTGACGCTGGAACAAGTGGTCACTGAGCTCAAGTCTGATGCTGTCTCTGGATTGTCGCCCGCCGAGGCCAAGTCTCGTCATGCGGAGTTTGGGAACAATGATTTGGGAGAAGGCGAGAGCGTCTCCCCCCTACAGATCATCATTGCTCAAGTTGCCAATGCGATGACGCTGGTGCTGATTCTGGCCATGGCAGTCAGCTTCGGAATCAGGTCTTGGATCGAAGGTGGTGTTGTTGCAGCCGTCATCCTCCTCAATATCATCGTCGGCTTTTTCCAGGAGTACTCAGCCGAGAAGACCATGGACTCCCTTCGATCTCTCAGCTCCCCGACCGCCCGTGTCGTTCGCGACGGCGACATGACCACTGTCCCATCCGCCGAGGTGGTTCCCGGCGACCTCATTGAGCTCAAGACGGGTGACACAGTTCCTGCAGATATCCGCCTTTTTGACGCAGTCAATTTTGAGACAGATGAGGCGCTCTTGACCGGAGAGTCGCTGCCTGTCCGCAAGAATGAGGATGCCGTTTTTGATGAAAAGACTGGCCCTGGCGACCGTCTCAATGTTGCCTACAGCTCATCGACTGTTACCAAGGGCCGCGCCAAGGGAATCGTATTCGCGACAGCCGTCTACACCGAAATCGGCGCCATCGCCTCCGAGCTTCGCAAGAAGGATTCCAAGGTTCGGCCTGTGAAGCGGAAGCCGGATGGCACCGCAAAGCCGCACAGGTACCTCGAGGCATACACCCTGACCCTGACTGATGCTATCGGCCGCTTCCTCGGCGTGAACGTAGGCACACCCCTGCAAAAGAAACTCTCCAAGCTCGCCTTGCTGCTCTTTGGAATTGCTATTGTCTGCGCTATTATCTGCCTAGGCGCCAACAAGTTCGACTCGAGGCAAGAGGTGGTCATCTATGCTGTCGCTACCGGGCTCTCCATGATTCCTGCAAGTCTGGTGGTGGTTCTGACGATCACAATGGCTGCTGGGACGAAGCGCATGGTCAAGAGAAACGTCATTGTTCGTAATCTAAAGTCGCTTGAGGCTCTCGGCGCTGTCACCGACATCTGTTCCGACAAGACTGGTACCCTCACACAGGGCAAGATGGTAGCTCGTGGTGCCTGGATTCCTGGAAAAGGTACATACACCATTGAGAACTCTACCTCGCCCATGGACCCGACAGCGGGAGATATCCGCTTTCACCCTGACGCTCCAAACCGGATCGATTTCAAGAAGGGTGGGGACGCCTGTGGAACCATTGCTCAGCCCGATGACCTCATGAGCCAGAGTGCCCAGGACCTCACTGCTTTTCTCCAGGTTGCTTCGCTTGCTAACCTCGCAACCGTTTCCAAGAAGGGTGACCATTGGGAGACAAGAGGCGACCCGACCGAAATTGCTATCCAGGTGTTTGCATCACGCTTTGGCTGGAATCGCCAGACGCTCACCCATGGCGAGAACGTACAGTGGTCTGATGTCGCAGAGCTGCCTTTTGATTCTGATGTGAAGCGTATGTCTGTAGTCGTCAAGAACAACGGGAGCGGCGAGCTTTTTGCTTTCACCAAGGGTGCTGTCGAGAGAGTCATTCAAGCATGCGCCAAGTATTCGCCGCACGATTCCGCCGACCTTATCGATATTGACGAGCCCTTTCGCGAGGAGATCCTGCGCAACATGGAGAAATTTGCTAGCCTTGGTCTCCGCGTTCTCGCGTTAGCAAGCAAGGTGTACACCTACCCTCTGAAGAAAGGCGACGACGTCGACCGATCTACTGTTGAGAAGGACTTGGTTTTTCGTGGCCTCATTGGACTTTATGACCCTCCTCGCCCCGAGTCGGCACCCGCCGTTCGCTCCTGTCACGAGGCTGGTATCTCTGTCCACATGCTTACCGGCGATCACCCCGAAACAGCCAAGGCGATTGCTATCGAAGTCGGTATCCTGCCTCACCGGATGGAAGCTGTCGCTAGTGACATTGCCGCAGCCATGGTGATGACAGCTACGACATTTGATAGCCTAACAGACGATCAGGTCGACGAGCTCCCGGTCCTTCCTCTTGTCATTGCCAGGTGTGCCCCATCAACCAAGGTCAGAATGATCGAGGCCCTTCATCGTAGAAAGCGGTTTTGTGCCATGGTGAGCTCCCCATCTTGCATGTTTTTCCGGTCACCGCTAACCCTCCTCATTAGACTGGCGATGGTGTAAATGACTCTCCGTCTCTAAGACGCTCGGATGTTGGCATAGCAATGGGCCAATCTGGATCTGATGTAGCCAAGGTAACTTTCAATCCCCGTCTCCAGCTTGGTGACTTGGTAACTAATATTCCTGCAGGATGCTTCTGATATTGTTCTCACAGACGATAACTTCGCGTCTATTGTCGCCGCTATTGAAGAAGGTCGTCGAATCTTTGACAACATCCAAAAGTTCATCCTTCACGTTCTGGCTGAAAACGTTGCTCAGGCATGCACACTGCTCGTCGGTCTCGCCTTCAAGGATGGTCGCGGACTCTCCGTCTTTCCTCTTGCGCCTGTCCAGATTATTTGGATCATCATGGCTACCTCTGGTATGCCTGACATGGGCTTGGGATTTGAACGCGCCGTGCCCGATATCATGCGTCGCCCGCCACAGTCCCTCAAAACTGGTGTTTTCACTGCCGAGTTTTTGATTGATATGGTTGTTTACGGCCTATGGATCACGGCACTTTGTCTTGGTGCCTTTACTCTCCGTGTTTACGGGTTCGGTGATGGCAACCTAGGTGAGAATTGCAACCAGGACTACAATAGCACCTGCGACACCGTATATCGTGCTCGATCAACCACCTTTGCGTGTTTGACGTGGTTCGCTTTGTTTCTCGCTTGGGAGATGATTGACATGCGTCGCTCTTTCTTCCGAATGCAGCCAGGCTCTAAGAAATACTTCACCCAGTGGATGATTGATGTTTGGCGAAACCAGTTCCTGTTCTGGGCCATCATGATCGGCTTCTTTACTCTTTTCCCACTAATCTATATCCCCAAGCTCAACACACTCGTCTTCAGACACTCAGAGATCAGCTGGGAATGGGGCATCGTCTTCATAGCAGCTGGCATCTTCTTTGCGGGCGTCGAAGCCTGGAAATGGGGTAAGCGTATTTACTTCCGTCGCCAAACCCGCAAGGCCCACGGTGCATCGTGGAAGGATATGGATATCGAACAACGCGTTTTTGGCGACTACCTGGGCTCTGATGCAGTTCAGAGCTCATCTAAAGAAAAATAGGCTCCTCTGGGATGTCGTTTGCCTTGAACAAGACGGTTCTGTGCCAAGCAAGTACCCCGGCCCCTTGAGACAATCGATTTCCCGCTGATCTTATTTTAGGGCGACCGAGAGTCGCCACCCTCACCCTCGACAAAGCCATCATCACCAAACAGGTGTGGTGGGCTTTGAGGTCGCTTTGGAAACCTTTACCCGCCAAGCAAGTATCCCGACCCGAGTGATGAAAGTGTTACCCGCTGATCCAATTTTAGTGCGACCGAGAGTCGCAAATCCTCCCGATTCCTTCTCGTCAGTGGGCACAACTCCTTCTGCCAAGCAAGTAACCCGCGATCAATGAAAGCTTTACCCGCTGATCCAGTTCTAGGGCAACCGACACCCCCTCCCGGATCTTGTCTCTAAGACATTCGTGAGAGACAATCCTTTGCCAAGCAAGTAACCCGGTCGACATGTAAAAGTAGTCTCGCTGATCCAATTCTAGGACAACCGCGAGATCGTCCTACTTTACTTGGACGATTCCGCCGCGCCCCCAACCTGGCATGTGTGAACTTCATGTTCTACTGCCGCTTTGGATTTCCAAATGACTTGATCGCCAATTGACCATGACAAAATTGAGGTATACCAGGTAAACTTTATCATTGACAAAGTAGAGTGAATTGGGCAATGCACTCGCCATATAAGATGAATTGAGAAATTAGCGAACATGTTTTGAGAAGAGGCTTCTTTGTCGCTTCTTTATTGACAGAACGCAGATCATTTCTAGATAGAAGAATAGGAAACATCATGTCCTGAACTATTTCTTTTCCTTTGTGACAGTGACTGGGTTGCTTGTGATAAAATGGGCTATTGAGAGAATGAACACGGATTGCTATGATATTGCGACTTATCACTCAGACCTGTGACGTGGTTGAGTTGTTTTGAAGTGAGTTTCAATTCTTCATAAGCGCTATTAATTGAAATGTTTTCTACAGATCAAGTTGGTGAACAAGCACAAACAAAAGATTATGGGGTTATATGAACAATGTAGAGCTAAGGGATATGAGTGAATCATCGTCTCGAGTTATTTGCGAACAAGATATCCTATGTCTACGAAAGCTTGTTGCAAGAAAAGGTTCAGTTGATGGAACAAGGCATAGCATACCCAGAGTGAGTTGGCTGATTGACTAATTCCAGAATATCATCGAGAAAAATGTAAATATCGTGGACCACCCGGGCTCTTTTCCACTCCACCCATACCCTAGCGTACCTCTCAATCGTTTCTTCAATCATCATTTCCCGACATATCATTTGCAACCTTTGAAAATGAGCTTCTCGAATTGTTCATTTCCACGCCAGGGCGACACAGAGCCCGCCCCTGTTGCAGGCTCGGGCTCTGAAACCTATCCGGACTCTGATTCATCTCCAGATGATGATGTGAACTCGAAGTGGGCGCTGGTAGAGGAAGTGAGAGACAAGCTTGGTCTCGTGATCCCGGACATTGACTATGTCAAAGAAAGAGTGAATAAACCTGAAGCAAGTCGCCTCTACGAGGAAGTACGGGGAAAGGGCCTTTACAAAAGTTGGCTCAAATCATCAAACTCAGAGAAGTTGTTGATTTACTACCAACCCGGGAAGACTGACGCCCTCAAGGGTGCTTCGCCGCTTTCTGAACTCTGCCTGCGTGCGAGTTACGACTTTCTCAACCAAGGGGAGCAACCCCGCGAAGGGAAGAATCAGCACCGCAAAAACATTGTTCTCTTGTGGTATTCTAGTCAGCACTCTGGCGAGCCCCAACAGGGATACAAGAGTTGCGACAAAAGTCCCTGGGCGATGCTGGGGTCTCTGACAAGCCAGCTCATCACAGCATGCCGAGACAAGGATCTTCCTATGAAAGGCCTGGAGAAGTACAATGCTCGCGCTATCACCCGACACTTGAGGAATCGGTTGGAGCTCTTCAAGATGTTAGTGCGGCAGATACCATCCGGCTACAAGCTCGCATGCGTTATTGACGACGTCTGCTACTTTGACCAGCCTGAGCTTTGGCACGGTGCGAACCAGGTCTTTGAGTTCTTACTTTCGCTGGACAAGGACAAGGAAGTAAAGGCCAAGGTCAGCATGTTCTTTACAAGTACAGTGAAGCCAAAGCTTGTGTATGATTACTTCAAAGAGCCGGATCGTACTATTATCTACGAGGACATCTAGAGGGGACTTTGACAGGGAAAGCCGGCTGATATAGGACATTTTTTTCTTATTTGAAAGGCAAACTACCTAGGTAGCTGACCATAATTGCTGTGGCAGACCAAGCACACCATGTGACAAGACACAATGGATATGGTACGATCATTTTCTACTGACTGCTATGAATCTCTATCGAACAGAAAAGACTTGTGAATGATCTGTGGATGCTAATCAAGGCTGTTCAATGTTGCTCAACTCCTGTCCCTACACATGCTACTTAAATACGTAGTCAACTACCGAGTCGACAAATGACTTTCCCTTGTCGACCTTTTTTATTACCAGCGACAGAGCCTTGATAGTCTCCGTCTCCGCGTCCGCCGCCACGCCGGCTGATCCCTCCACGGGGCCCAAGTCGCTGAATCCCCGTCCGCTGAAGAATATATATGCTTTGCTCCCCCCGATCGTGGTAAGCACGCCGCCTCCTTTCTTCACCCTGCATACTTGGGAATCTATGAGATCTTTCGCGTAGCCCCTACCTTGGTGGTTCGGGTGCGTGACAAGGAGCTGCAGCCACGTGCTATGTGGGTATCGTGGCGAGAACTTGTCCTGGGCACTGCGGAGTATCTGAATATACTTGAGGAGGCGATGGTCTCGTATATATGTTCTATGCTCGCGCTCTGTGTATTCCTTACATGATTACTTCTTGCCAAGAAAAGAGCTTTAGGGGAGTTGAAATATTGGAATGATGGCTATACTCACTTGCGACTTCTGGCCCTTGGGCACCTTTCACGTCCCAGATGGCAGCCGACACAATGTGCGGCTCAGCCTCTCCGAGATCTACGACCTCGACGATCCAATCTTCCATGGAAGGGTTTATATGCTCCTCAAGGAGGGACTCAATCTCGGTGGTGTAGGCCTCATCTTGTATACTTTTTGAAGCGGAGAATTTCAACCAGAGACGATCTTTTTGGATCGAGTCTTGGATGAGCTTGGCGATGGCTGGGACGTCGTCCTGGGTTGCGATGCGTGTTTTGCCCATGTCTAGAATGTTGTAATATGAGAAATGCCAGGGTTCTTTGTCTATCCTTGGGCGTGAAGCGGGCGTGTATCTTTGTCTGCCCTGGAGTGCGTGTATACGCGTCCAGATATCCAGAGAGGGCTACGGGAATGGATAACGAGGAATGTAATACCGTGGCTGGGTCGGGTTATATATCTACAAGGAAAAAAACCTGATGGAGGATAGGCCAAGGGAGGCAGCCCGTCCACGTGATTCAGGTCGACCGACATACCTTACACAAAATCACAGAAACAAGTGGCGATGTTGTGGAAGGGAAGAAAGAAAAAATGCCAAGGGCCGGTGATGGCAGATCCGGAACCACCCTGGTAGGCCTCCAACGCGGGACATGCAGAAAGTTGTGGGGGCTTTCCCTCTGCCCTAATGCCGCAGCAGAAATGATGGCTCACTGCTGTCCATGACGGCAGATCCCTGTGCTTTCACGCGGATATCCGGCACCTTCTTCTGAATTCCCTCTTGCCCAGAGCATGCGCCACCACTTCAGTGGATCGTTGCTCTCGAGTTTCCATGATGTATCAGTAGCTAAACCCCTACGCCACTTCTTGGATTCAGAAATCGAATAACTGTTGTGTACTTCGAAAGAGTATGGGTAAAATTGATGACTTCCTCTACAGAGCCCAGAGCACGCAGCGTTGCCCCGGGCTGGCCATCAAATAACCTGTCAGATCGCGTCAGCCACCAGAGAAATATCATTGTAAGTCAGAGATGTTCCAGTGGCGCAAGCGTCATGGAATACTGGAGGGACTACTTAAAGTAAGGTATCAAGGATACCATTAGTTACCGCCTATTCCAAAGGTCTCTAGTTTAAACCTAGGCTAGGATATATAGTAACAGGATTATTCCAGTGGCATAACGGTCAGCCTTTATGGAAGACCAGAGGGAGATATTAACTAAGGTATAAAGATATCAAGATAAGCCAGCCTACCTGCCATCTCAACCATCTTGCCATCACAACCCAGAATGCCTTGTTCTATGTCATCTACCTCTCATATCCTACCATGCCACAAGCCACTACTCCATCCCTTAGGGGGAAGCGAAGTCATTGACCATATGTAGCGTTCTTATGCCTCCTCCTCTTCCTGTCGAAGATGAAGCAGATGCTCATCCGGGAGCATGATGGCGCGGTCGAGCGTGTATGGCACGGTCGAGCGTGTATGGCAGAGCGTGTATGACAGACCACGGTGGCGCCCGCGGATCATCACGGCACAAGGAGCTTACCGAACGTGCCGAACATGCCGCTTAGGGAAGTCATCACGGTTGGGTGGCCGAGGCTCAACCCCACGTTTCCGCTGTTACACACACTTAGCGTACCTGCATGTTAATCAGGGGGAGGATGTTGGGGAAACTGGAGGGAGTAAGGGGGAGGGAACAAGAGGGGCAACTTGCTAAGCGGATGTGACTTCGAAAAATATGCTCCAAACGGTGAAGAAGATGGCAATATACATCATAACCATCAGACTGAACTGCACGGCGGGGTTGACATTCGCAAGATTGAATGTTGCGGTGCCGGTGTGACGCGAGGAGGCAGCCTGGAAGATTGCCGCAAAGAGGTGCTGACCAGCCGGCAATGAGGCAACTTCTGGGTTATAAGGTCCAAGACGATAATCAGGAGTGTATCTACAAAGTTGAAACAAAAGATGATGCTAAAGAGGATCCAGGTTGGGCGGCTCGGGAAGAGCAATGTATAGCAGCGACGGGGGTGATTCAAGAGGTATGATAGTGGCTCCTGGATCGATGCGTTCTTAGGTGCGACCTTTGAGATGGTCCAGATAAGAAGACATAGCAAGACCGGATAGAGGGTGTTGCCAGCAAATGCCAGAAAACTCATTGCGATCATCAGCCATATCGCATCACGAAACGAAATCATCGAGTCTGGCGTAAGAGTGAAACCCAGATTGTCTACCATGCTCTGGGCAGAATACACGGCCCTATGGTAAGCGTCAATGAACAGAGGTTAGGAGGCGCGTTTGTCCGATGGTACGTACCACCAATTCATATTTTGCCCAGTTCGGCGTGATACTCTTTGTACTTGGGATTGGCGTACTGGATCCAGCCCACAAGGAAGATGACACCAAGAAGGTGCAAGCCGAAGAAATAGGCTGGCAAAAGAAGACGCAAAAAAGACCGTTGGTGATAAGGAATACAACTCCGGTTGTACATATTTTGGCAACTTACAGAATACAATCTTCACAAGAAGCTTGAGGCTCCTATATTCTAGGCCTCCAATTCTCTCCCAGTCCTTCTTAGTTAGACCGACAAACTCAGAGTTGCGACCGATGGTAACATGGCGAGACAAGCGGAGCTTGTCATCCGGAAACTGTGCTCGAGGCCCTGGCGGGTTGGATTCTGACCGGTGTTCACTGGAGCCAGGGTCCAAGATCAACATTGTTTTGGCGACATACGCCACGTTGGAAACGCTCTCCATCGATAGCGAAGTGCGAGAGGCATTGGTGCGGCGGTGGCGAAGATCATACACGGAGCCTCCTTCGCCAACAACGGAGATTTCTGAGCCAAGGTTAGATGGAAGTTCTGGAAAGGATTGACTGATGCCTGCATCACGAGCAACAACACGCATAGCCCAGGGGGAATGAGGGCGGATACAGGGGATTCTCGAGAGGTCTGTATCGGGACTGTAGCTGTGTTTGGTGTGACGACCTACCCTGATCAACTTCTTGGAGTCTAGGGACATGTCCTGATGTCTCAACTCGTGGAGGCCTGGCTGAATCATCAATGATGATCCGAGGGTGCGCTGCTCCAGGAGCTAGGGAAGCTTCACGTGTCTCGGGCTCGTAAGCCTCGTCTGACTGCTCTTTGCCTTTGTGCATCTCCTCTTGGGTCGAGTCTGGCTCGTCTTGTGAGAGGACTTAGGCGTGGCCGATGCCCATTGGATACTCACTGCGTTCGCTGACGACGCTCAAGCAGTTTGGGAGCTAGCCGTGGGGGTTGGTTACCTATTGAGCATTCCGAATGCAAACGGAAGAAATATGAGAGCCGACAAAGAGCGAGGTGGAGTCGAGTTTGGACCTACCAACTTTCTTAAGGTGCTTGCGGAACCAGATCAGACGCACAAGAACAGTGAAAGCGTTGATGAAGCCGAGGTTTGTGATAATGGGAATGAAATAGATGTAAAGCTGCTGGTAGAGTATGAGATCCTTTACATCAACACTAACATGAGAAGTCATCAGTTAAGAATTAACCTTAAAAACTAACACGGTGCTAATAATGTCGAAGACTAACGTGCTCAGGCCGGATTCGGTCGAGGTGCTGGCACCGAAGAAGTAAGCATCGATGGCTTTCACATTGCCTGCCGGAAGCATGACTGCAATGGAAAGTAGTCCCATGAAGATAATGTACGCATCTAGGATTGTCAGCAAACTCGCAGTTGGCTGAAAGGAATGCGTCGGCTTCACGAGCAGTGCAGAGTGACAAAGTTGATCGGCACCAATTTGAGGAGCTCCATGGTGGCTGAGTTGGATGCCTGCGGGAGGCAGCCGACAACAAGATGCAAGACAGATGCAAGCAGGGAGCAATGGAAGACACCGTGCAGAAAGAAAAGCGAGAGGGAATGAAAGGCAAGAGAAGGGCAACGGGATGCGACACGCGGGGGAGGATTTTGAGGGAGGGTAGAGGAGCATAGGGTAGGTAGGCGCCCCGATGATGAGGGTGGGGGGCTGTCATGCGGGATTTTCAGCTGTCGATAGGGAGTGCAGGATACCCTGGAGAGCGCTATCAACATGCTGCCGCCGGTGTATTCAGTACCTGCGGCTGAAGGATTTTGAGCCCTACTGCCCCTTAGAGGAGGCCTCCTGTAGTGGACCGTGGGAGGCCTACGGGTGATGAAACGCCCGCAGTCTCGCCCCCCGTAAGCACATACCTTAGACAAGCGATGACCAGCAAGAGGGCACACTAACTGAGGGTTTGGGTGAGTGCACGTGATAGATGTCATGGTAGATCAGTTATGTTCTCGGCTCCTTCACGTTACTGATCCCGAGCCTGATAGGTTTCATGTTGACGTGTGCGTTGTTTCGCAGTGCGAGGTGAAGTGCAAACGACATGCCGGTATGTGACCCGTCTTCTTTTTCTCCTCCCCCCCTTTAAAGGCCAGTCATGGCCACTGGGATGGGCATTTCATAGTCCTGGGAAGTTCAAGACAAGGGCCTCGTCAATACATGTAAATAGCTGGCTGGGGACTTTTATTTGGATTCTGCATAGCGACATAGGACGAGTAGAAACTGGACAAAAGAAACAAGAAGAGAAGCTGGCCACTGGTGTGCATGAGTGTTACTTTTGCCAGGCACATGCACGTTCCACAGTCAAGTTGTAAAGAACATGGGGGCTCCGAGCCGGGACAGCCTTACGGTCGCCCTGTAGAAAAATCAGCGGGAAACTCGTTGGACACGCGAACCGAGTTACTTGCTTGGCGGTAAAAAAGTCCCAGACCGAGGCGTCTTGTCACCTCCCTCCCCTCACCTCCCCCTCGCGGTTTTCCTGTAATTGGATCAGCGGGAAACGTTGAACGGCGCAATCGGGTTACTTGCTTGGCGTGGAAATCCCCAGGCCGTAGAATGTCTTGCCGGCCGGGTGACGACCTCTCTGTAATTGGATCAGCGGGAAATATATTGAGCACCGCAGCCTGGTTACTTGCTTGCAGTGGGGAAACACCTTGGGGGGACGGGGGACCTCTTCTCAACCCCGTGGCAGTGTCTCTGTAGTTGGATCAGCGGGAAACACTAAGCATCGCACTCGGGTTACTTGCTTGGCGTGGAAAGTCCCAGGCCACTGGATACTTGTCTATCCGAGTGGCATTTTCGGTGTGGTTGAATCAGCAGGGGAGGCCCTGCGGCGATCAACGCCAGGGCCTTACAAAATTGGTATCGGTAGCCTCTCCATCGTAGTTCGCAGGCCGATGGTACGACCTTGGTTCGATCCTGCTATATTGTGAAATGGGGGGAGTTAGGGGATCGGAGTGATCGAAACAAAATTCAAAGGGAGGAGAGAGAACAGAAGAAATGCAGAAGGAAAGGGCTCAGCTTGAGCGAGTCTCAACCCACTTGACAGGCCCAATACCTGCCAACTAGTGGGTGATATGATTGACGACAGCGGTCACAATGGACCGTCTCCTGCCTTGCTTCGGGACAGACAGTGACATGGCCTTGACCATAACCGTGTCATTCGCGATGCCTGAAGGCAAGGCAACGGCACCCAGATCATGGAACCCCAATCCACTAAAGAAGATATAGCCAAATGGCCCACCAAAGGTAGCCAGAACGTTTCCTTTCTGCTTCGCCTTGGCCATGTAAGAGAGCAACAGGTCTTTGGCATAGCCCTGGCCGCGGTAGTTCGGGTGGGTGGCAAGGAGCTGCAGATACATGAACTGTGGGTATCTTTTCACAAACTCGCTGCGACCGTTCTGGACCAAGTCGTAGAACATGCTGAGGTGCACGTCCTCGATGGGCATCTTGGTCTCACGCTCTTCATGTTGCCTCGAATCAATTTCTGTTGTAGGCGGAAGGCGTAGCGGGATTCTTACTTGACTGCCCTCCATGGCCCTGGGCTGCCGACAAGTCCCATACGGCAACAGAAACGATGACGGGAGTGCCCCCTTTATCCCCCAGATCGACGACCTCGATGACCCAGTCGGTGTTGCTAGGGTCGATATGCTCCTCAAAGAGAGCCTCGATCTCTTGGCGGAAGTCAGTGCCACGGTTTCTCTGTGACGGCACAAAGTTTGTCCACAGGCGCTCGCTGTGAATTGAAGAGAGGATCACATCGATAACGGCAGGGACGTCTTTTAATGTCGCAGCTCGTGTTTTCCCCATGTTGTTAGGCCCTAGAGGGTGAAGGATGTTCAAATGATGTTGATATCGAGGCGGGACGAAGGGTCAAAACAAGAACAAGGTATGAGAAAGGCAAGAGCACAGAAGAGAAGTTGAGAGAGGAGAAAAATGAAGTAGAGGAAAAGCCCATGGGAGTCAGAGAACAGTTGTAAAGAAGAAGCTCCATATAGCTTCTTACAATCAGCTGCTAGCGACTGGTGATCCATCAAAAGCAACCTAAGCTCGTTGCATGAATGGTGGGGAGGGGTAACTTGTGCCAAGGGAGGGAGCCAAGGGAGGGAGCCCGGAGGAGGGAGCCAATGCAGATGATGACGTAAGTCCCACTGGTCTCACTTTAGGGACGGATTGGCGACCGAGGGCTTGAGCTGCTCTCGTCTTCCCTTGGACGGCAGTAGACCGCCGCCCAATAGAAATAATCCCTCATCAACGTGACCACGACGTGTGGTACTGATAGAGGGCAAGGGTAAGGGCAAGGGCAGCCGGGAAGATAGAAGGGGAATGCTGAGAGAAGAACCGAGAAAAAGAAAAAAAAAGAAGGAAAAAACCGAACCATGGGGAGGATAAGAGGCAAAGGTGGGATGTGCCAAGCGCCAAGCGATGCGATCTTAGAGGCATGTCTTGGTTGGAGCCAGCACACGAAGAGATGGTCGGTCAGCTGGAGCATGGCGCGCTTGGCTGATACTGCGACAATGCCGCGCCCAATTCGCGAGAATTAAGCTTGTTTGCCCTTGGCCCAAGGCGGATGTGGTCTGATCATGGTCGGGATGGGCTGTCTTGGGCGGACTGACCAAGCACCAGGAGGGCTGGGCCAGAACGTCGGGTCAATCCTCCCCAACGTCGCAGCAGACTTGAATTTCCCGAGCCCAACGAGATTTCAAGATCTGGGGGATCGTGATCCGACGGCCCGGGTTCGGATCTAGAAGGCAATAGAGGACGTTTCCGCAACCGGCCTAGAGTAGCCGACGTGTGAACGGGAAGATCTCCATCAAGGGGGGTGTGGACTGACTTGAGGTAATGACTCAATCGGGCGGAACCCTTCCTCTAAGCGTCGATCGCGAAGGTATTTTGCATACGAGCTATCCTCATCCTTAGCCACATCCCAGAGCAACTTACCGGTGCACATTGCCATATAGGTCACGCCGCAAGCCCATACATCCAGAGCACGGCCGTCGAACTCATCATCTGTAAATGCCTCGGGCGCAATATATGGCTCAGAACCACAGATTCCCGATACCGTTTGAGTCTCCTCTTCCCACGCCAAACGGATACACTCACTGCAATCAAAATCGCTGATCTTGAGCGTGCCATCTGTGGTAAGGAGAAGATTCTCAGGCTTGAGGTCGCGGTGGACGACGCCCATCTCGTGCAGATATTGGACCCCAATCAGTAGTTGCTTAAAGAAACAAGCTGCCTCAAGCGGTTCCAACTTCCCAGCCGAGCTCACCAGTGTATAGAGGTCCCCGCCTGCGCAGAACTCCATTACTTTGTAGAACTTGTCGGCGGGACTCTGTATAAGCTCATGCGTACGCACGACATTGATATGGCTCAGCTCTCTCGCGATGGAGAAGTCGGCCTTTAACCGATTGTTGTGCTTCTCCTTGGGCTCTGCGGACGATTGCCGGAAACATTTGATGGCGTACAGCTCCTCCCCGTCCTGGCCCTTTGCCGCCTTCCTTCGAGAGAGCCATACGGTGCCATGTGCGCCGGTGCCGACCACCTTCTCACACATGCCGTACTTCTCTACCATGGGTCCCTGCGAATTGAGCTCCTCCTTCTCCATCGTATGCTTGTTATTGCCGCCGAGCATCTGCTTCCATTTCTGGGACCCCTCTCGAGCCCCTCCAGGCTCAATGTAGTGCTGGTGGACGGAGAGCTGTTCAGACCGCGGGGAAAAGCGCTGGGGCGGCGTGTCCTGAGCCTTGGTCCGCTTAAAGGATAGGCCTCTGAACATCGTGTTGCTCGGATGCCTGCGAGGCAAGATTTTTGTGGTCAGGGTGGTGACGGGCCAGAGCAAGCGCTGGGTTGGAGGTGCAATATTCAACCGCGAGTTGGAACGCGTCGCGGGGTCATCAGGTGGCGTAGAAAAATCGCCGGAGTGCGGGGGATAGCAATGAGAAAAGGGACGGGAGAAAAGTCGTCGAGAGATACCTAATAAAACTCGGCGACGCCAGTTTGTGGGACAAGGTGGAGTTGGCTCTGTCGCCAAGAGCTGAGCTACGTGGATGATTATGCTCATCCCTGTCGCCGTTGTTCGGGCGCAAGCAGAGCCAGCGTCATTGATAGGTATTGATCTTGTGTAACCTGGTACGCCGTGGTTCGGAACTGCGTCTGCATGTCTCTCCTACATCTCACTCATCTGTGGGCCTAACCTAATGTATAGCGAGGAATCGGGAGAGATATGTGCTTGGTTCATGTCGAAAGTATGGGAATTATTTAAAGCACAATGAGCTCACTGAAGGGCAAAGAAGCCGTAGATGAGAGGTCGGTGATTGGATTCAAGCGGGTAAAAGAAAGATATCGAGAGTGGCCCGGACGATGGGACGTTGAAGGTGAATAATCTCAGCACTGATAGTGTACATGCATCATCGTGACACAGCGTGAACTGACACAGACAATCTATAGACCAAATAGAAAACAGGCGTAAGGGTAACGGAGATTTACGATCGAGAGTAGGCTCGAATTTAAATCCCTGAAGTACTGACTCGCGACTGAGACTCAAGCAAGAAACCTTGCATCGAGCAGGGAGGGTCACATCGCGCGATGTTTGCTTCGTTAGCTTGGGCGGACCAATGAGTACCTTGATTTGGCTTCAATCTGACGGGTTGATTCACCTGAGGCAGCTTCGCATGTGCCCAATCATGCAGGGTGCGATAATATCATTGGGAGCAGTATCAAAAATAGCTACGAGCTAAGCTGAAAGCAATTCCCAATGGGCGACTGATAGGGCTGAGAATCCTCTTCGTCTGATATCGTTTCATGCTCTTGGAGTAGCAGCTACCGGACGGGTGGAAAACTGTCATCTCAATCGCTATTCTCGCTCTGAAAAAAAAGTTGAATCGTTAATGCATAGGAAGTAGACAAATAATAGTCCCTGAAACAAACACAAGCCTCGCCTTATATGGCATATTACTCACCTTATTCTCTAACACGTCTATAATCAAGCTATCGATCTATGAGATAGATTTCCCAAATTGTGGCGCAGGATGACCCAAAGAAGTTTTAACGAGTTAGCTTGGAGGCACACTGCAAACTGTACACGTTTAATTGTCAACTCAACTTGCCTCTTGTGCACCTATTGAATTAGGCATATGACCAAATTAGTAAAAGATATTCAGGCAGCCCTTCCTAAGCTACCTATCTGAATTTTATTTTTCGAACTTATTAGTCGGCTATAGCAACAAGGTATCAATTCGTCCATGATCCACTGCTTTAGAGATCATCTTAGCCCTGCCACGGGATGTATATAGGCGAAAGCAAGGACGCCTAGATAATCAATTAGGAGGAGCAAGCCTATCCATCACAGCACTACAGCGGTCTCAGATAAGCCTGGTGTAAATACTGCGATAGGTGAGGTGTAAGGGCGATGGCCTTATAGCACAGGCGATATATCTGGTAATACAGTTAGTGGTTGCTCCTATCCCGAGGATATACTCCAGTAGTAACAGCACAAAACGAAAAGATTTAAAAGATTCAAGCTGCTTGAGAGGTCTTGAAGTACCGAAATTTCTGAAATTTCTCCTATTAAGAGTGCCAGTAATTGGATTTAGCGAGGGCACACCGAATTCAAAGCATCAGCGCCAAGAAAGGCCTGCGCATTACAAGACAACCGGTCTCACTTAGCCCTAGCCGGATCTACACTAGACCAACGGGAAGAATAGTTAGAAGTGTTGCAGATAAAGCAAACTCCGCTTTCTGGGCCTTGCTGGTAATTCCAAGAATACAGTTAACTAATTCCCAAGCCCAGCGGTACTGTCTGGGAATCTCTGGCGCTGAAGTATTATAACGAACCAAGCGGCAGCGAAGGGAACGAGTAATATACGAATTGTTATTAATATACTCTAGTGAGATTAGGCTATATATAGTAAAGCAGAGCTTTATTTATAGGGTTTATATAATATTAATTAATTAAAGAGGAAAAGAAGAGAATATAAAGACTAGCTAGTAGTAGGGTATTATAGATACCCTATAGAGAGTTATATAATATCCCCGGGTTCTAGAAAGCTATTATTCTTAATAGCTAAACTAACTAACTAACTAGTAGAGTTAAAATTATTATAATATAAAAGAAATTAATTTCCTTTTAATTATTAACTTATTCTTAATATATTCTATATCTTAATATTTAATATCTTAAGATATAACTTTCTATTAGCTAGAGTTAGTAGATTAAATAGGTTTAATCTTATTATAATTATTTAGAATATTCTAATTAAATATAATATTAGAAGTAATATTCTAATTAGAAGATATATCTATATTAGTTATATTTATCTTTTCTTACTAGTTAAGTTTATTATAAATAGTTTCTTTAGATTATTTATTAATAGTAAACTTAGTTCTATTAGAATAGATTTTATTTATATTTATTAATAATTAGATATTAATTAAAAGCTCTAAAGATTAAACTATCTATTTATTTAATCTAGTTTTAATAGTATAATAAATCCTCTTATAATAAAATTCCTTATCTCTTTTTTAAATAATATATATAGAAGGTAATTATATCTTTTTATTTTAATCTTAATAGTTATAATAGTTTTCTCTCTAATAATCTTATATATTTTCCTAATCTAAGATATTAGTAATAGTATTTAAATTATTAGTAATAATAATTAAATTATTAATAATAATAATTAAATTATTAATCTAAGTAATAGTATTTTTCTTAGTATTCTTATTATTAGAATTAGTATTAAAAAACTTATATTTCTTATTAGTAACTTAAGTATTATTAGTATTAATATTAGTAATATTAATAACTTAAGTATTATTAATATTAGTATTAGTAATTTAAATATTATTTAAATTCTTAGATTAAATATAACTATTAGCTAGTAGGGGATAGATATATTTTATATTATCTATTTTATTAATAATTTCCTTAGATATTTTAGCTTTATAATAGTAATTAGTATATTTACTTATATAGTAACTATAGTAGATATCTTTAGTATAACTTTTTCTAGAAATTTTATAGAAATTAATATAACTTTTATACTACTTAGATAGATCTTTAGTAATAATAATACTACTTTAATTAATAATCTACTAATAGTAGCTTTCTAAGATTAAATTCTTAAATCTCTTTAGATAAAAATATCTAATAATAATCTATAGAAAGTAATAGTATATCTCTATTATAGCTTATAGCTTTAAGTTAATAGTAAATCTAGCTTTAGATATATATATATAATTAAGAATAATAATATCTACTTCTAAACTTAGTATTAAAGTAGTTATATAGATAGTAATAGCTCTAATTAGAACCTTCTAAAGAGAAATCTCTTTAATAAATACTTAATATAATTTAAATTACTAATTATAATATATAATAATTATTATAGTCTTTATTCTGCTTTTATAATATAGATAAATAGCTATTTTAATTCTAATATAAGTATTTATCTTATTTTTATAAGATATATCTATATTACTTTTACTTATTTTAGAAATATCTAACTAGATTAAACTAATATTTTATCTACTAGATAATAGAGAATTAAAGTATTTTATAGTCTGCTAATTAAGTAAGTATTTTAACTTAATAATTATTATTAATCTAATATAAATAATATATATAGTATAATTAGATATATTAGTTTTATAATATTAATTTAATCCTAAGAAAGCTATAATCTAATCTACTTAGTAAAATCTATTTAGAAGATTTAGAGCTTATTATTTAGAATAATAAAAGCTAACTTTCTTATTATTAAATAGTTTATCTAGAGGCTCTAGTTATATTAGATTATTAATAAAAATAATTAGTATTTCTAGAAAATAGAAAAATAGTACTAATATTATATACTTAATTATATATACTACTTTATTTACTATATATATTTATAGTAGAGTTTTAATATATTTAGTAATATTATCTAAAGTAGTAGAAATACTAATTAGAAAGTCTACTTTATAAGTAATATTAAATAGAAGTTATTTTATTTCTACTTTTACTTTTATAATATTTTTTCTAAATAAGATTAGATTATTTTCTATATTATACTAAGAGTCTTATATATAATAATACTTATTACTAGTAATAGTAATATATTTTACTACTTTTAATAAAGAATTTCTATTATTAGTAGAATTTTTAAATACTAGATTTTTCTTCTTATTATTAATAAGAAATTTAATTAGAGTACTCTCTATTCTAGACTTAGTTTTATTATATTTAATAGTTTCTCTTTTAATATTTATTAGAATATTATTAAGTTTATACTTCTATAAATATATATAGATTACTAAGTTCTATAGATAATTTTTTTAAATCTTTATAATAATATTATTAATTTAAAAATACTAACTAATTATCTACTAGATAGGTTCTAAGATTATAGAGTTATTAATAATCTTTATAGTATTATCTTCTAGTTTAATATTATACTTTCTAATACTAAAAGATAGTTTTATTATCTTTTTATCTATTTTTTAAACTATTAAATTACTATCTATATCTTATTATTTCTTAATATTCCTAAAGTATTCTATATTTACTCTACTCTTTCTCTTCTAATTCTTTAAAGTAGTACTTATTATCTATTCTATTTTTTTTAAAGGTCTTTACTATATATAAGAGATATTCTAAAATCAGGCTATATATAACTAGCTCTATATAATTTATTTTTAACTAAGTTTTAATCTATATCTAATCTTTAACTCTATTTTTTTTACTTTTTTATTTATATAAGCTAAGGTAAGATAATAGTATCTCTAAAAACTCTAAAA